TTCCTGTTGCAGTAATCCATCGTGAATTCTTCAATCATCGTTACCATTTTAGTTACCAGCGTCAGCCGTCATAAATGTTGTAAGTGTTAGTTTTTTAAGTGTGGCCTGATTGTTTAATTTTAGTATTTCGTCCGATTTGTGTATGAGCTCTATGGTCATTGCACCAGACCGATTCGACCACAGAGACCTTCCCCCCGATAATTAAACTCAAATTCCTTTTTTCCCTTGTATAACTAAATTGTTTCCATTCCTTACGGGCGCCGCCGTCGTGTCAGTGGCCGCCGCCGAACGCTATCGGTCAATTGCGAGGTACGCACCTTAGGTTGCCTACCTCCAAAATTATCGCGGGGAGTAGGTGGAATTGCTTAGCCCACAAATTATAGGCACCCGCCATATACAAATTATATTTTTATTTTTATATGATTATTATTTTTATATTAGTCAATGTGACTGGTCCTTCGACCCTCGTTTCGGCCCAAACAATACTACTTAATCAATTTATAATCATTTGGAATTTTCATTTTCCTCGATTTTAATTATTTTAATTGTATTATAAGTTCATCATATTTATGTTTACTTAAATATGTATAGTAACTACACGATTAAAACACAGCACTAAACAATACACGTAAATGGCAGTATGTGTACTGTTGGCTATAATAAATATAGCTGCATAAGAGTTCCAAGATAATAATAATTGCGATATGAATTGTTCATTATTGATGGACTGCATTTGAAAATGGCAACAAATTATTGATTATTAATGAGACTACTGATAAAAGTTATTGTAACTGAAAGGAAGCAGTGCCTAAAAGAAATTATTAAATATAACACTCTAAAATACCTCTAATATTCACATTGGCCGCACCAGTTTTAGAATTATATACAATAACTAGTCTATATGAGAATAAAATATGTATTGTTTACTTTGCTCAAATATCTTAGATATTGTATACAATGTCCGCCGGGTATTATATTAAAATGACTGATTAGTTCACCTGGACCATAATATATATATATATATATATATATATGTAGTATCATATAAGTATACTTTCCGGGCACACAAAACACATCTGTTTAAAGTTGTAATTAGAAATTTGTATCGTTAAACAATCAAAACCAACTTTTCAAATGTAAACTCTAAATTTAATTAAACCATTCTATTTAACATATTGCAAATATCAAATAGAACCCTTTAAATTTTCTTTACAATTTTTTTAATAATTTTATATTGAATAGTAATAACGTAAAGATTTTTAATATTGCCAATTACCTATGTCCTATTTTTATATGAATCATAGTTAATTTTAGTGACGTCATTGGGAGGGGGATAGAGTGTGAGATATCACTACCTACTAACTCAATAGTGTTAATAATTGGCCCTCCATTAATCGGCCTATGGGCTCTTATGGACTGTATACTATACACATACGCATATATTAGAACCCGTAGATATTTACTAATTAAAATTTTAAAATAATATAATATTTTTTATAAATAATAGTGTTCAATTTTGAAATTTTAGAGAATCTTTTACATCACATAAGCCTTTTTTTTTCGTAATAGGAGTGAAATTCTATTTGAAAAAAAAAAATTAAAAAAAAATCGACCCTCCAGAAAATAGGGCCAGGGACACTTTTGAACATACGTCATCACAGCCATAGAATGCAGTATCATATTATTATTAATATTCCTTGAATAATATAAAAATTATAAATTCATTAAAGATATCGACAATAGCGTTTGTAAACTGTATTATATAAATGTTTACAATTAACCATATTCATCTCACAATTAAAATAATGAATTAAAAATTACCTTACTCCATAATATATAATAAATTATACTTATCTACAACATTTGTATTACATCATTTTCTGTTATCACCTTTAATCTATGTCATTAGCATAATTAAGCTTATTTTTATTACATTATCTCCATGTCATTTTTCAGATAAATTAGTTACCAAACCAATACCGCTGACTACGTGTATGATGATGTGTAATTTGTGTCTATACATTTTAGACTATAATTTTTAATATCTACATGTCAAAATTTATTCATCTATATATTTAAATATTAAGTCAATGTATGATATAATGACAATTTTTTATCATTAATATTATTATTTGTAATTTTTGTACTTAAGATTCACTTCTCCTTGAAATAGGACTGTAATTTGTTACTTAGGGTTTTTTTTTAAATTGTTTTTAGTTTTAATTACACAACTATTTATAGTCCACATATTTATAACTATTGTCGTCAGTCGTTTATACTATTTTTATATAACTGAATAAATCGTAATAATAATATAATTTATTTAATATAGTTTATTTTTAGATAAAATCATAATTTCTGTTAATATAATAATAATTGCTGTAATTTATTTAATTTTGGTATACTAAGACCATGATTTTATTATTTGTATTCCGATCAAAGTTCAGTTGCAAAAGAATGTTTCTTGAGGTTGAGAGGGTGCAAACACAAACCTGCATTCATGCCACTGAACAGCAGTTATTTAAAGTTATATTTTGTATGCGATAAATAAAAATATTCAATTAAGCCGACTGATACCAACTCATTTACAATAATTTGCATTTTGTAGTACAATTCACAAAAATACAATGACGATATAATAACCTTAGAAGTTAACAGGCCGACTGTAAATAGTAGATATTTAATAACAATTTTCATTTTATTTCCAATACATGAACATTAATTATAAGCTAAATAAGTAAAATGTGCAACTTAAATTTTAATCAAAAAAATCACAAACCCATCATTAGTTAATAGGTCATAATTTTTTTTTTTTTTAAAGCCTTACAATTTGAATATATTTTTCATATAAAAATAACCGGTGGTGAATTCAGTTGCCTGAGACCTTGGCACATCGCCTTCAATTACCACCGAAGTACATTGGTGATTGATGTTGGTATTATAAATAATAATATGTATTATGTTGTCTTAGCAAAAATTAATTGGTACTATACTTTAACTAGTTTAGAATTAGTATAATTATATAAATTGTATTAAATAAGCATTTACGGAATATGCAAAGACACGGTGAGTAATAGAATCACCCCACATATAAATTCTTACAATAGAAATATTGAACATAAATACTAAATTGAATTTACATTTTTATTTTCTTATCAGCAGTTAGTTTTATTTAATTTAAACATAGTATTTGTATAGATTATTTATACTTGTTTCTTACGTATTAAAAAGTAAATTTTTAAGGCTTATATTTGTGCTCGACTTGGCAAAATTAAAGAAAGAGGACTCTATTTACTCTAGAAAAAGAGCATCCCCAAAACTTGTTAAGCATTATAATTATTACGTAAGTAATAATACTAAAGAGACGATAAAATTTCTGAAAATTAGTATTCCGTCCCCCCACAAGTCGAGCACTGATTAATATAATTTTAGGCTAAAGCTTAATATTTCGTGTATTATGACGCACTTTCTATACTAAAAACTTTATAACAAGTGTTATAAAATCTTATCCGTTGAAAATCACAAAAACAGTTACTACATACTCATAAACCATTATTAGAATAGGTTGATATTTTATACCAAAGGTTTCCAACCTACGGCCCAATTAAATTAATCTTTTGAAAATAACATTAGTTTTCATTAATTATAAAATTAATTTGTTAATTTTTTTTTTCTTTTGGTGTTATTTATAAGTATTACTTATGTATATAACATTAACTAATAATAATAGAATACATACATACATAGGTGCCAGGTTTTCAAAAATGTATTGGGTGCTCTTACCAATATCAAGCAGTGGTGCACGCAAGGTTGTAAGGGGTTTCACCCCCTCGAAATTTCTCCGAGGCCTAGTATAATGTTAAGACTATACAATATTTATATCTATAGTAAATTATTAATAGAATAACACCCCTCCCCCAAAAAAAATCCTGTGTGCAACTGACGTCAAGTATTAGTGAGGGGCTTTTCCTTTTATTCCCTATACTAAATTTTCAATAACCTGGTAACCTGATAACTGCAAGACCTTTGTCACTTTTATAAAATTAATGATGAACGTAAAACAAAAAGATTTTCTCATTGATACAATGGTTACGACTATGAATAAAATATATTGTACTGTTATATGATTACGGACTTGAAAACAAATTGTTTTTGTGTATTATCCACGATTTAAGATAATATCTATACAATATATTATATCTTAAGTCGTGGTATTATCTAATGAAAATACCGGGAGAAATCAAAATGTACAGAAAAATACAGTGCATCCAATAAAAGAAAAATTTTTTTTTCTAATTTTGACTTACGAGGTTTTGCTGTGTAGCCACTGATATCATACAATGAACGTGATGATAACGGTTTACCTATTATAATTAATATATTGACCGTTGGGTGATCCGCACCCAATGAATATTTTCAATGGGTGCTTGAGCACCCGAGCACCCATGTACTTGGCGCCTATGCATACATAAGAATCTAATAATAGAAGAACCCATCGACCACACTTATCGGAATTGGAGTGTACTTGCGTTTAGTCCGGCCGTTGGTTAAATAAGAGTTAACAATCGACACCGTAATAATAACACTATCGAACGTTTCCAAGTGTGAAAGTATAGTGTAACATTTGTAGATATATAATATTGAATTTAATAAGTTTTAAAATAATTTCAGTTTTGTTTCTCATCAAATTTTGTGTTCTGTACTTATTTGGAATTTAGTATGAACTCAAGTAAAATAGGAAAGTAAATAAAGAGTGCCGTGTTTTAAACGAAAAGTGGAATAATGATTACTTTTTTGTCCAACAAAATAATTTTGCTTAATGCGTTATTTGCAAGGAAAAGGTTGCCGTTTTAAAAGAATAAAATATTCGTTGACATTTTGAAACCAAACCACATCTACATATAACGAGCTTTCTAGTAAGTTACGATCAGATAAGTTTGAAATTTTAAAACATAATTTATTAACTCAAAAATAAATTTTTATAAAACGGTCACGTCAAAATGTATTTGGAAGACAGTTGAAGAAATTTGTCCAAATAAATTAAATTTATTCACTTCTGTTAGCTTATCAGCGAATAAAATTGCGCTACGACCACAGATCTCGGAATCGATATTGTTCGCCAATTAAAAGACACTGCTAAAAATTTCAAATATTTTTCAATTGCCTTGGATGAATCTACCGACTCTTCAGATTCTGCGCAAGTGCTTTTATTCGTTCGTAGAGTCGATAAATTTTTTAAAATAACTGAAGAATTGGCCGCAATCCATTCAATGCAAGACACATGTACTGGTGATAAAAATTTTCTAAAAGTAAAAGAAACTATTTTTGCTTTGGGTCTTGATTTTAAAATTTTAAAAGACGTAACTACTGATGGAGGGCGCAATATGTCTGGAACTCATAAAGGTTTGGTTGGAAATATGTGTGAAGCTGTATTGGAAACTGGAGCAGCAAAAGCAATGGCTATTCACTGCATTATCCACCAACAAACTTTGTGTGGGAAAAATTCCCCAATATCTGAAGTTATGAATGTTGTTGTGCAGATTGTAAATTATAATCGAAAAATTGCTCTCAGTCATCGTCAATTTAATAACTTTCTCGCTGACATTGAAAGTGAGTACCCAGATATTCCCTATCATTGTGTAATTCATTGGCTTAGCCGAGGTATTGTCTTGAAAAAATTTTTTCATTTACGTTCAGAAATCGACATATTTACGACGGAAAAATATCATGTTGTCACTGAGTTAGCTGATTTGTCATAGTTATGGAAACTAGCTTTTCTCGTTAATATAACGTTTTTGAATGAGTTAAATTTAAAACTTCAAGCAGCAAACTCATTAATTTCAGATCTATACACCTACATCAAAGCTTTTGAATTAAAATTAACTCTATTCACAAAGCAACTTAAAGAAAATAATCTTGCCCATTTTCCAACTTGCAACAAATTCAAATTTGAAAATGATAAAGAATTTCCTACCGATTTTGCTGTTGGGGTTTTGATTTATTTAAAAGAGCAGTTCCAGACCCACTTTAGAGATTTTAAAAGTACAGAAAACCATATTCGAACTTTTGAAAATCTATTTGCCGTAGAAATAAAAACTTTACCAACGGATCTTCAACTAGAAGTTATCGATCTCATATCAAACAACAATTTCAAAGACTATTTCAAGGAAAATAGTCTCCAAAAATTTTACACAATGTTGCCAGAGGAGTCATTTCTAAATGTCAAAAATCGTGCACGTGAAATTACGTCAATATTTAGCTCCACATACTTATGCAAGCAGACGTTTTTAAAAATGAAATACCTCAAATCTAAGTACAGAACTAATTTAAGTGATGAACATATACAAGCGACGCTGCTAATTGGAATCACAAAATTTGATGCAAATTACGAAGAAATTTTAAAAAGTAAGCAATTCCAAATTTCTCATTAAAAATTTAACTTATACGTATTATAAAAAAATACAATTGAGTTATAAAAATATAAATAAATGTACATTTTTCTTAATACCTACTTTTTATCTATTTTTCAATTTCACAACCTTTCTATTCCTTTAAAAATGTTGGCCCGCGATGCCAAAAAATATCTCAGATTCGGCCCGCCGTAAAAAAAAGTTTGAGACCCCTGCTTTATACTTTTAATTTACATTAAATTATGATGTATTTAAATTATTTTTTAGGTATAGTTTTATCTTTAATTGAAGATTACATCACAATCATTTATCTTAAATGTAGAGTGAACTTAGTAGAAAAAATGACAAATTTTAGGCACTACTTTAAGTTTATGAGTATATTTATAGTAGTATAGTATATTTATTTTTATGGTTTGAAATTCTATGTTGAATTAAATTAAATTTTAATCAAACTAATAAAATAGTAGGTATTATATTAGTCAATGGCTATAATATAATGACTAGAGCGTGAATTTATATGCATTTGCATATTTATTGTGGTTGGTCGCATAATTTACTAAGCACTACATTTGTTTTATGACAACGATTTAAACAATTTAACTTTTTTAGTGTATATTTTTGCATATTATGACATTTACTTAATTTTTATATTTTAAGAGCTTATTTTATGAATTTAATTACATATTTTGATGTTTTCTTGTTTTTTTTTCTTCTAACATTTTTTAAATATTTACTGGTATTGTACCTAATGTAAAGGGTAAATCTATTTATGAAAAATTTAAAATTTATATTTTTTAATTACATATATATTACTTATGTGGACGTGGAAAATTCATTTACAAAAATTGTATAACGTTTTGTTGATTGGCAAGTGTCAATTATTTTTTTTTTTGTAAAAATATAGCTAAAATTATTGTCGTACAATAGTACAATAATAACGATATTTTTTAATTTAATTTATGTAATTCTCATGTGCGTTAACTTAATTGTTAACTTAATTGAACATGAATTCAATTAACTTAACTGAGTAAAAAATATCATTAACTTGCTCAGCCTTATATTTAGATAAGAAAATATTTTTAAGAATAATATTTTGATATTAATTCCTTTTTAGGTAAGAAAATATATTTTAGGATAAGTATTTGATATTAATTCCTTTCTTCCTCGTAGATTAAAACTACATACAAAATGATTTTAGTAAATTCATTTCTTAAAAATTTGAAGAAAGAAAATATTTATAGTATATTCCATAATTTTAAATGTATTTTTTTATGTATTATTTTAATTAAATGTTCAACAAATATATGTCGTTTTTTGCTACATTTTGAGAAAACGTAATGATCTTCAAAAACTACAAAACAAAAAAGTTTTAGGATTTTATTTCGATGGTCGAAAAGATAAAACTATGGTTAATCAAAAAGAAGGACTTAAATAATATTGAAAAATAATAACTGAAGAACATATATCACTTATACACAAACTAGGATCTAAATATATATATCACGCAACACCAGCAAATGGATCTGCTTTGTAAATTAAAAATAGTATTATTCATATTTTAGAAACAAATTATATAAATACTTCAGACATTGTTGCGATTGGTTGTGATGGTACAGTTGAACAGCACGGGCTTTATAACAGGTGTGATTCGAAAAATAGAAAAACATTTAAAAAAAAACCACTTCAATGGCTGGCTTATTTGTCAACTCCGTGCCAACTACCTACCTCTACGTTATTTATTTCAACATTTAGATGGGAAAACATTCGGGTCCCATGGATTTTCCGGTTTATTAAAAAAACAGTAATATGTCACAAACTACTTGTGGTAAAATTTTATCGAAATGAAAGTAATTTACCTTTTTTATACAATGAAATTGATTTAAGTACTGACCAAAAATATCTGTTTGAAATATGTTTAAATATTTCTTGTGGTAATTGTAGTGTTCATTTGTCTAGAAGAAATCTAGGAAAGCAATTACATTCTAAGTGGCTTACTACTGCAAACAGTAGCGCAATCAGGAATTTTTCATGGGGGGGGGGGGTTGACAAAATAAACTAATATACAAATAATAAAAAATTATAATATATATATCTAGAATATGATATTAATATACTATTATACGTACCAAAGGGGGGGTCCAGACCCGGAGTCCACCCCCCTGGTTGCGCCACTGACTGCAAACCGTATTTTAAGATTACATATTAGTATGCAGGGCCGTATTTAGGGGGGAGCTACAGGGTTATGTTGCTCCGGGCGGCTGAATATGAGAGGGCGTCTAATTTTTTTTTATATTTTCAATATTTAATAATCTAATATTTTTGAAGTGAAATTTCTTTACAAAATAAAAAGTGTATCTCAAAAACTATATATATATATATATATCACCAATCATAGCGTCGCGACACTCACACATACTCGGTAACGATCGAGTACTATCGATAGATCCAAAGATTTAAAAACAATATATCAATATGTTGACATTGCACTTAGAATATTTTAGTGTATACCAGCAACGAATTGTTTTTCAGAAAGATCTTTTTCAATCTGCAGAAATTTGTATTTGGTAAATGAGTCGTTTTTTATTGTTGCCCCCTGGTGTAAAATTCTTAAATACGGCTCTGTTATTATGGAATTTCCAACAGAAAATATAAAAAATTTAGCTGAGTTCATTATAAAAGTGTACAGTCTCATGTGGTTTTATATAAAAATGAATTCATTTTGTACATCTGGATCAAAATATCTTTCGAAAACTATACAATTTTGTCGATATCTACCTGAAAACTTAAAAAAATTTATCGACCCTGTAAGTCAACGAAATATGTACTTTGGATGACCTAAAAATATACTTATATGTTTATATGTATTTGATGATCGCAAAGACATTAAAAAAATTTGTTTCTTTTAAAACTCCACTGTTGAATTTTAATTAGGGTTGCCATACATTTAAGACGAAACCGGGACAACACAAACACAATATTGAGTAATATACTTTTTATATAACTTTTAATATATTGAGAAGATCAGTGGCGTAAATAAGGGAGGAATGTGGAGGTCAGATCCCCCCAGACCTTTTTTAAATATTATAAAATAATGTTTTTATTGTGAGGGCGTTAGATACATACGCAAAAAAAAAAATTATGATAAAATAAAAATAATGATTTGTTTGCAAATGATCCCCACATATAAAAGTTATGTATACGCCACTGAAGAGGACCATTAATGGCCGGCAATATAATATTTAAAAAAATGTTTGTAAAATAAAATATATTATATTTATATGTGTATTTACAAATTATGTTTTTATTATATATTGTTAATCGATTACGATTAAAAATGTACTTTGAAATAAAATGGTCGAAATTAAAAATTAAACAATACTACATTTCCTCTAAATGTCGAAATCGAGACATATGGACGTCCCGAAAACATTTTTCGTGACACCGTGACGTGAAGTCCAAAACTGGTATGACAGTCCCGGTTTTTCGGGATGTATAGCAACCCTAAAAATTTAATATTAAAAAAAAAAAAAAATATATATATATATATATAAAAATTAAAAAAAATGCAAATGACTACTTCAAACTAATTGATTGGGAAAATGATCAAATTACGGAGACCTCAATTATATCAACTATTGATCAAGAAACATTTAAATTGGTAAAACTTTTTTTTTTTTTTTATTAATTCTCAAAGTTTTAACTTTAGATTTTTGCATTAGATTATTGAAAATCCAAAAAAGCATAGCAATAATGATATTTTCAACTGTCCTTGACATATTCAAGCTGTCGAATGAAGCGTGAAAATTGTGATTGAAGCATCTGGAGCTGTATGTGGACAAACCAGAAAATACGGTTTTATAAGATCAAGAATTGAACCTCGTAGAATTATGCCTAATTTTCATTAAAAAAAAAATTTTCAATTAGGTTGAGTTTATTATTTTAATTAATACTTTTTATACTTACTCAAAATATAATAATCAATCAAAATATATATAAACAGCTTATATATTTATACATCAATAACAATTTAATTAAATGATTTTTTCAAAAATGTTGTCATATTTTTTTTAGTAATTTGAAAGAAATTACTTGCGGTACCTCTTAAATTGGTCGAATTATATCCATTTTTTTCATACATTTATTTGAGTATGAATCACAATTTTTAAATAAAATAATTGTACTTAAAAATTGTGATTCATTTCTAATTATTAGAATTTGGAAAAAGATAATTTTTGTTTTTCATCATAAAATCGATCCACCCAACTGTACAAAATAAAATCAATAGATTACTAATAGTATTGTTCATTAAATTACGAATTAAAATAATATATATAAGAAAATAATGAAATATATAAATAACATTATTTATAGTGAAGTACTGAAATCTCAATAGTAAATGATACAATTTATGAACGTTTTATAAGAATTTATGCTTCATCAGTTTTTTAAAACCAATTTGCATTTATGCGTTTTTGCAAATTGAAGTGTTATTAGATTATTAGTTCTATCAAAACTACATTTAATTATAATTTATATACTATCTACATAATTAGAAATAGTTAAGTTATATTATAAATTATAAAAATTGCCAACAATTACCTAACATCCTAACATCTATTTTATTAATCTTTATATTCTAATTATACATTTTAAGGAATGAGTACATTAGATGAATATACGTCGTATTCACTTGGCTAATGAAAAAGCTATCCGATACCTATCCAACTACGATTTCTTTTAAATTGTATTACCACATGATTTTTATTAAGGTTACGTGAAACTTGATTTTTTTTTTTTTACATATACCATATTTCAATGCAAAAAAAAATAATACCACAATGAAGTATTAACCAGATGTAGAAGAAAAAAAATGTAGGTAGGTATTCAACTTTCTTTTATCGAGCCAATTTTAGGTATAAGAAACAATTTTATAGGGTTCTTAAAAATGGATAAGACTAGTTGGTATTAAATTTTTATACCTAAACAATTAGGTTATAAAAATAAAAAATATATACTTACACAAACATTGTGTATCCATAATACAAAAATGTTTTATTTTTTTATGTACCTACTCACTAATGATAAATTGAATTGAAATTTCGGTATACTACGTTTTTGTACACAGATGCAAATTATTTCACATTTCAACCAAATCTGAAGTAAGTGCCTACAAAGGATACTTTTAAAATTATTTCGAATGAATATAACGATATTACGCCATACCGATGCTTTGGGCCCCACCAAATGACTGGTAAAATTAAAATTCTTCCGAACATAATCTGTTCATCAGCAGCACCTGTATGTAAAAGGTCACGAGGGAGTTCTTAGTTCTGTGTTATTACAGCACTGGGGCCTGGAGCCAAAAGCTCAAAAGTGTGTAATATTTTTGTATCGGTCCACAAGAACGAAGCGAACGGATCGCGACGCCAGTGTCACCGGCGCCGGCATTATTACCGCACGACCGTCATAACTCGACGGCGCCAAGTTCGGCGGCACTGGGTCAGAGGTGTTTTTTCACGACTGGCGCTCTTCGGGGCTCTTGCGTGTTTTCCGCTTGGCAACCGCTATCACTGCTGTCCTCGCCACTATATGGCGTATATGGTATAATAATAATAATAATAATAATAATATACGGAACGGTGCGTTGTGCGCGCGCGTGTCAAAAATCCCTTATTCTCCGGACGCCTTTACCGCGGTGCCACCGCCGTTGCGCACTGTCAACGTCTCCGCTGGCTGCTCGAACGCACACGCATTACTCACCCACCCGCGCACATACACCTGCCAACGAATCTGACCATAGCGGTAGTACTGAGCGTTGCAGAGAACACGGTGAGAAATTGAACTGTCGTAGACCGCGTAGTACTGGTAAAAACTACTACGTCGCCCGGCCGTCGTCGCGCTTAACGTTTTCTAATTTTGATACCCCGATTTTCCCCACCTCGCGCACGCGAGTCCCAAAACCCGTGTGTTCGTCACGCGCCTGCGTCGAAGCCGTCGTCGTTTTTGTTTTTCACGCGATCGTGTGCGTGTGTGCATTTTTGCGCGAGCGCCGCGTGTGTATCGTGTGTCCCGAATACGCGCCGTGTGTGTGTGTGTGTGCGTGTGCGTGTGTGTGTGCGTGTACGTGTGCGTTTGTGTGTGTTACGTATATATATGCGCGTGTGCGCGTGTAGCTGCGCGCTCGTGTGTGTATAACCCAAAGGAGCAACCGGCCCTCTGCCCAGTCGACCGGACATCGCGTACCCGCATCCAGTAGCGATACGGCTGCATAAAATAACGTGTATAAAATATTTATTACATACTATTTAAATATAATAAAAATACAATCTTATCGGTACGGCCCCATCAAGTGTCCGTTAAATGGCTTTTCTGAAACTATCAACATCTCGTAAGTGCAGTCAATTATTATTGCAAGAATCGCTCAGGAACGACTTGTATACTCGGCTTGTGCGCTCACTAACCACCACAAATGGATCTGGAGAACTGCAGCAGCAACAGCAACAACGAAGAAATAACAGCGTGGCCGCTACTGCTGCCAGTACGGTCGATAACAAGCCAAAATGGGATACATTGGATACGTCATTCGCCAACCCCGAGGCTACTTTCAAGAGCAAGACCACCTGGGAAATATTTAGAGCTTACATAGTTTACCAACTTTGCTCATCAAATTACCTTGTTGAGAATAACATGCAGGTAAATGTTTAAATGTAACTGTATTACTCGTATCTATCTGTTGTTAAGGTTTACCTTAATATATTATTAATTCAAGTAACTTTATACTCAGTATTTTTCTATTGTTAGGTTTTCAACATCATTAAATTGCTTATGCTTACCCAAATAATATACTCGTCTAATCAAATTGCCTTAGTAGAATTTAAAAGTTAACTAACATAAATATACATGTAGTCAGAGCCAGACTGGGTCAGAAATTTCTACTGGAAAATAAAAAAAAAACCGCCCTCTTAGATATATCAAAGTTATATAAACAACCCTAAAAAAACTTATATTTTCATATAAATTTATTGTATATTATTTTGAGAATTTGAACACTTAATATTATTATTAAACATTAAAAGACTGTTTATTTAATTTTAGACTGTTTCTAATGCAATCGCATTAGAAAATTTGTCAATGTCTGTCGACATAATGAGCCTAAACTGATAAACCTAAAAAAAACTTCCAAACAAGTACAAGTAGTCCACAGGGAAACTCCCAGTATCCTGTCTACCCAGTCCAGCCCTGCATGTGGTACCTAATTAGTTTTATTTTTTTCGGTATTTACTTTTTCATTAAATTTGTTTTATAAAATACTTCTTTTCTACTTATCTCATGAAATATATTATTTTTTCATACTTATTGTATATTGTATATAATAACAATTAATAAACTTATTATTACTCAATTAGTTGGTATTATAAATATCTTGTTCTTTGGTTTCAGCTTTTGATAATTTAATCTAAATGTTGTAGCAATATTTTTAATGATTATTATTAAAGAGTAAATAATTTATTTACAGATTTTTACTTTTTACTATAATAATTTATTCTATTTTTCAACTTAATATTTAGGGATATTAAATATATTTATGAGATCTCTACAACTATATTGATTTAATTTATGTTAAAGGTTATCTAGGAAATAAATTAAAACATTAAATATAAGTTATGGGTCAATTGGTCAATCATTATGTATTATATTAATTAAAACCTTTTATGCTCTTACATATTAAACTAAAAAAAAAAAGATAATTTTTATTTTAAAGTTATGATATTAAAAATATTCTAAAGATTTATTAATATGTATTTAATATGTACTATTTCGTAAAACTAAACATTTTGTTATAAAATATTTAAATATAAATACATTATTTATTTTATTTGGAATCTAAAATCATTATTGAATACACTATAGATAATTTACACAATCTATGTACTTTATGTAATGTTTCACTGATTAAAATTATGAATACATTTAGTTAAAATTTAAATTATGTATGTGTATTTATAATCAAGGTTGACAAGATACTTAATATCAAGATACTCAATAAGTACTAGTTTAATAAATTTGTAGTATCTAAATATATATATTAAATAACTACCCAGATAATTATAATTTTAAATTTTTGATTTTAAGTACATAAAATACATTTTTTTTATTTATCTTTTAATGTTAATATATTTATTTATTTATTTATTTATTATTTCTGTAATACATAAAAAAAAATAACTATTGGTTTGGTAATAACTTTGATATTTAAAATTTTATAAATGTACAGGATAAGTAAGTTTAATAATTAAGACAATTACAAATTTTAAATTTGATTTAAGTATTAAACTAGTTACTTATTAAGAACTAGTTAAGTGTTTATTTTATATAAGTCAGTTATTGAATTACATTGTTTTGTTCCGTATATATTCCATAATGGTATTTTTGGTAAATTTAAATCAAATTCATTATTTTTCAGTAAATGTAAATAATTATAATAAAGCAATTGAAAAAAAAATTGAAAATATTAGTAAAGTCAATTTTTGTAAGATATTGTTTGAATTATTTATAAATAATATCTCTTATTTATGAACATATTTTTATAATTATTATTTTATTTTTCTTTTAAGAAAACTTGTAAGTAAGTATAATTTACTTCAACCCTTTACCGAACCTCTAAATAGTGAACATATTTTATTTCCTCATTAATTGTAATTAGTTTTTATTTCGGAGATTCTATCTTGGAGAGGTATCGTACATTTCGGGGGGAAGGAGGTATGTGGTATATGATATGTCATAGGAGTAAATAATTAATAAATAAATAATTTTTTTCATGCATGTATGCATTTTCCATAGCAGGTTATACCCCTCCCCCATCCTTGATCACCCTCCGAAATAAACACTGTTTTTTAATTTTTTACTATAGCTTTGTTCAGTTACATTGTATTGGTACACATTTTTAAAATTTACCTTGTTAAAAATATATATATTTTCAATTTTAAATTGAGTTGATAACGTGTTCATTTTTTGCTCATCTTAAATTTACTGTTTGAAAATATTAATATTGATAAATAATATAATTTATGATAGGAATTAACAAAAAAAAAAAAACAAATCTATTATTGCGACCTTAAATTTATCAATACATAGTTTATAATTTTTAAATACTAACCAAATATTTAATTTCACTGTTAAAAATGTTCCATTATATTATAGTTTATTAATAATTATAGTGATTAAAGTGTTCAATTTTAGCAAATTTAATTCTTATTAAGATACAGTAAACCTAAAATAAATAGTTAGATACTATAGGTTAGTCATTGATAACAATATTTTGGATGATGAATACAATTATTTTGGCTATTTATAATTAATATATATGTTACAGCAGCATATAAAAATAACTTTAATTTTAACTTTTAAAATATTATGACTCAATTTGTAAAATATTTTTTTAATAAATAAAGTTTAATTTTAAATTAAACCCAATTTTCTTTATGGAAGAATTGATAATAATATATGTTATTTTCGTCTTACATATGCAACAAAGTAAAAACTACCCTTTTTTTGTCTCTCATTATAGTTGATATATAAGTAATAAGTATTCTGAAAACACATTTAAATTCAGTACGAAATCTACTTGATATCAATTTGGCCACTTTTTTAGATTCATATTCTAATTTACTTACATAAATTTGATTTAACTTCTATTAAGATGTTAGTATATATATATATTTATATACTTGCATATTTCATACAAAGTTTAATATTATTTATTATTTTATTTTAGCTCATGAAAATTTGCAAAATGGTTTTTGGAGAAAAATTATTTACCTTAATGATGAAAATGACATTTTATGGTCATTTTGTTGCTGGAGAAGATCAATATCGTATTGTTCCTACATTAAAACGGTTAAGATCTTTTGGAGTTAAACCAATATTGGATTATTCTGTTGAAGAAGATATAACTCAAGAAGAGGCTGAAAAACGTGAAGTAGAGTAAGTTTAATTGAAATATTAAAATAACACTGTAAATTGGCCTGATTACAATATTATTTGAAGGATGTTTGTTTTTATTATAAAACTTCAACAACTACTCTTTCAAAGTTTGATAGCTATATTTTTCAACAGTATTTTATTAGAAAATATATATATGTGTGTTTAATTTATGTACTCTTATTATACTAGTAACATGAATAATTGAGTGTATACTTTTGACAGAGAAAAGTATTTATGATAATAGCAATTTGATTAAAAAATAATATTTAATATGTTAATAAATAACACTAATATTATATTTGTAATGTATGATTGGTTTTGAATAAAAAATGTATCATCAGGTATATTAATTTACAATTTTATTGACTTTGTATGATGAATGAATGTATTGATGGTTAACTTTTAATTAGTAATCGGTCGTGCATTACAAATATAGTAATATTCCAGGCTAAGCATTTATTTATTTCTATATATATATAAACTATTTATTTCTATATTAATACACGAGTATTAATCATTTACTAATTTTTATTTTATTAAGAATATTTAATTCAAGCTTCAAAAGCTTAACTTCAAGTAATTACGAGATATATAATAAATTTCTTTTCTTGTCAGTAACTTTTAATATTATCAACAAAATTTATTTTATTTTTATAGTTAATTTGTTAACAAAATGTCAAGTAATGTAATCATCTTTGAATTTATAATAAATGAATTTATTTAAATTTTAAATTTTGTACACTCCTGCATCTGTATTGATTATAGTGTACTAATAACATACATTTCCCATGACATGCATATTAAGTTAACTAATTAATGGTTGCAACTTAAAAGTCTCCACAGTTTAAATAAACTATAACCAGTAGAAAAAATATGTTTAAGAATAATGTTTTGATAGAATAAACTTATAATTTTACAATTTTAGGAACGCTATTACATACAATAAAGTATGATTTTGAAATTTTATCTAAAATAATGAAATTGTAGAACTTTTATGGAATTTACCATTGTATTTATTTATATTTATTTTTAGATCTAGCATGTCGGAAGTAGAAAAAATGGACCAAAGTGCTGCTCAAAAAGAAGGTAATTTATTTGAAATGTAAAATATTATAAACTTATTGATTACAATATGCATAGTTAAAATAGCATTCTGTCATGTTTACTATGTTTATTTAACTATTCAATTTATATCCTGTTCACTATTCATAGTGTATTTATGTATGTGTGTATTTATTGCATGTATGCATCTATTCTTAAGTTAATTTACTTTTATTCACCAATTACTATTTATTACAATTACATTCTTATTACAAGTCTAATTATGTTATTGATTTATTTTTTCTTCTACAAATTTTTGTAGAACTTATTTAACTTTGAGTTAAGTAATTGGGCTGATCTGTGATTGTGTGTATTAGAGTTTTAAATGTTTATGAATAAATAAAAATATGTAGGTATTGCGTTTAAATTATAATAAATTTTTAACTAAAATACTATCTCTTAATATGTAATTTTTGGAAATCTTCATAATAAATATTAAGTTGTATTCATAGAAGTTAAAGAGAGAGGCAAATAGAACAATTTTAATTTATAAAATATTTTTTTTTAACCGTTTAAAATTGGAAAAAAAATGACTTATTTTATTTTATTCATTATATAAAATCACAAAAGTAATTACTATAATTACTACTGTTACGCCGACTTGCTTATTCAAGCTTTGGTTATTGATGCATATAAAATACATTTTCATAATTATTAAAATTATAAAAGCTGAGTATCATGTATATAAAATCAAGTCTTGTTAGTAAATTTAAAGATTGAAGTGATATACTAATGTATAACATATGAAACTGTTAGGTAAAGATACTTACAAGTCTTAGGCGCACATTCCACAACATTTGAGGTAATACTTTATTTTTCGTTTATGAACATTTACATTAAATGGTAATTTTTCATTCTATAGACCATACTATTCAATAAAGATTTTTATTTTTCTAAAGTCTACAGAACTTAATTCAAAGTATACAATTTTTATTTTAAGGAAATGTAAAAAATACTAATAAAAAGTGAGTAATATAAACTGAACATTTTTCTATAACATTCTCTTAAAGTTAAAAATTTTAACTAAGTTGATCAGTTAGGAAAAAGTTACATAAAATTGTTTTGATGCTATAAAAAAATATCCCTATCCCATATTTTAACAATTATTTTATTCCATTATTGTTTTATTAGTTTTGTAACTGATAATAACTAATTTTTTGTTTGATTTGACTAACGCATGCAAATTTGGGTTTGGTTCCCATTGGGCAGATTCTGTTTCAGCCGAGAAAATTGGAGGTTCTCTACCTCAGTACCATGTGGATAAACAGTTTGCAGACAGAAGGTACAAAGTACAAAGTGCTCGAACCTATTTTTACTTGAATGAAGCTACTTGTGAACGTAATATGGAAGTATTTCAAAATTGCCTTGATGCAGTTGCTGGTAAGATTTATAAAATTGTATTTCCGAAAACAAAAATATTATACATTTAAAAAGTGTAAAATTGTTTTTCGGTTAAATTAATGTTAATACTAAATAATTAACTTTATATTGATATTCTGATCGGAAATTATTTATTTATTATTTATTATATTTAGTGATAGGAAATTTATCGTAAAAAAATATTTGGTTGATTTACAGAAATTTACGTACATTTTTACAATAGTGTATATTTTTTTTTTACTAATTTATTACGACCACAATAACATGTTTATAACTCGGTTAACCAATACTACCACTGGACACTTATCCACACTTAATCTCAAGTATTATATTTAAATATGTATAAGTTTGAGTAGTATGATGAATAAAATATACAAATGGATTGGATGTATAACCATGTTATAACGTTCATCAATCTTTTTTAGCAACATTGTTCCTTCTACTTCAAGTAATAGGGAAATTGGAATACGAGTTATAAAATGTTGTTTAATTTCATTCAAAGCTTCAGGTATTACAGAAAGTCTTGGCGTATCACTCTCAAGAATTGTAATCCAATTAACTATCAATTTTTTATTATCAAATTAATATATATTATAAAATATCATTCATAGTATTCAATTATAATTTTTTTTATAGACAAGGTCGTAGCAAAATTGGTTGAGCTAGAGGTATCTACGCCCCGAGCGGAAAAATAAAAAATGTGCATTTAATGTTAAAAATTGTGGGTGGGAACACCGTAGCCATGAATCGGCGCCATTTTATAAAACAGCACCGTAACTCCGTTCAATCTTTTTTTTCTATACCGTAACATCGCAAAAGATATTTTTTAAATCATAATAATTAACAAGAAAAATTGCATGTCCTATAATTATAATTAATATAAACATTTTACATATTCATACCTGTCTATTTTATTTTCATTATATAATTTTAATTTTTTTATTCACATCTAAATTAGATGTGAATGTAGTGTTAATGTAGGATAATTAGATGATCTAATTATCCTACATTAATTTTTATTAACAGTAGAAATATGTGATTTAATCGCGCTGCAAGGTTTAAGCTTCACATACAAAGCATAATCTTATCCACCACGATATCAAGGTTTATACAAAACTAGGTTAGGCTTAAACTATAAGTCTCTTTGGGGCGAAGCCCCATCCCCACGAAATGGGTGAATGAATCAGATTTTTTCTTTAATTCAGGCTTAAAATTTACAAGTAAAATTTTTGGTAATATTTAAATCAGGTGAATCCTTAATATTTGTGTTTTTTTTTTAATCTAATGCCGAATCGAATTAGAATCGACTTTTGTGTAGTTCTTTTTTAACACCTATGTTTTGAAAGTTACGCTTGTATTTTATTTGATTTTTCTTTAAGTATGGACCCGATAAAAATCCCAATTCAGTATTCATAGCCACGCGTAATTTGATTTCGCTATAAAATGATCCACATTAAAAAAATTTGAAATGTATCTCACATGTAATCAATTCCTTAAACACGGATTAAGGGGGGGGGGCATCGCCCCTTTGCCCTCTCTAAAATACGCCCATGCGGCAGGCAAGCGAAGTCCTAAAATTTTAATAATTTAAATTTTGTATGTAAGTTTTTTGATAAATGTGGAACTCCAATTGTGTATCAGATATTTCAAATAATTTTGCCTTACGGACTTTTGGTGTTAAAAATAGTTTTAGAATTCGTTCATTTTTTCGACAGCGTGAAAATACGATGCGTCCAAAATTATAACGGTTAATGTTGTATGTTTTTTGTACAAAAGCTTCATCGTACTGTATATTAATTGTAGCAATTTTGAAAATAATATTTAATACTTATGTTTTTAAATTAAAAATACACAAGGTCACATTTAGAAGTTTTGCCCTGGAAGCGTAGGGTTGTTATGGGATTGTTTATATAAGTAACATTTTTTTTTTTAATTTTGTTTAAAAATATTTAGAATGGAATTCGATCACGCAAATTTGAATAAATTGTGTACTCATCAAGTTTTATGTACAAATATACAATATATATGTCGCATTGTTATCGAATAAAAGTTACAAAAGTTGTGGAAACATAGTCAGTTGTCACCGATGCCTAATAATAGAACAGTTACTATACGTCATTCAGTTCTTTATTACGGGTCAAGGAGTAATTTAGATAACATTTTAAAAAAATTTCAATTCACTGACCTATATTATGATTATAAGACTATAAATGCACTTCTTTTGAATTTTGTTTTCATTTTAAGTACATAGTTTAAAAATAATCCTTTGATAATGTTATAAACCTTGCATTGTTTATTTTTATTTTATAATCACAATCACTGAGTTACGAAAAATAATTGTTTTGGTAACATGATTCTTTATACAGTATATACAGCATATATCTTTATAAAATTACTGATAAATAAATATTAAACATTGTCTTCTCTTCAGATTTATCTAGTTTATTAAATTATTAGTAATAATTTTCTATACGCCATTATTTTATAGTTTAAACCCTTAATTATTAAAAATAAATGAACCAATTTTTTATTGGTAAAATAGATTGTTATCGCATATAGTTTTCAAAACAAAATAACCAAAAAATAATTAAATTTTTTTTCTATTTATAGACATTTTTTAACGCTATTAATAGATTAAAATAGGCAACATATAATAACCTTCAAAAGTTTTTTTTTTCTTATTTTGCTTTAAAATGAAAAAAATACCATCACCTCAAAGTACTATTTTTGTCCAATTTCTTATTTTTTGACATTTATAGTACAAATTCACTAAACGAAAATATTTACCAATACATGCTTTGTTTAAATTTAAAATTAATCTTATGTTTACCAATTAGGTTCTTATTACCTAAAAAATTATATTTTAATGATTACATTTTAACTAAAATATATTAAAAAACTGTGTACAGTATCAAAAATTAGTAGTTTTAATACAAATAAAATTATTTATTCTCTACTATACACTATACTTAAACTCTAAATATCATATATTTACATAATATTAGATAAACTGTTGTTTTGTTGGTAAATATTATTTTAAAAATATTTATTTAAAATTATTAATAATAAATAAATACATTTTAATTCTAATTTAACATGTATATATATAAAACACTGAAGTCTCTGAAGGTTTCTGCACACTGGATGGGAACCATCCGATCAGATTAGAACGGGAAAAATGAATAAACATAATTTTAAAGGTCCCGTACATTGGATCCGATCAGATCAGAAACATTCAATCGAAATGGAATCGAATTGTGTGTCAACAATATTTTGACGAAATCAAAACGTGACCGCATGCATATAAGCACATAAATAGACATACTAGACTCTAATCAGCCCATTCTAGTTAATTATTTACTTAGTTTCTATTAAGTTTTTTTTTATCGATTAATTTTTTAAAATGTCGTGTGAAAAAGTTATACGTGAAATCTAAAAATATGCATATTTATACAATGAAATAGTAAAGTATTGGAAAAAAAATTGTATCATCTTATTTTAAATGCAGAAATAATGTCTGAAATTCTCCTTTTTTTTCATTTGCTAAATCAATATTATGAACCCACAATATTTTTTTTTCAGTGTTTTTCTTTTCTTCATCATTACTTTGTTTCATTCGTAATAATTATCTATGTATATAATATAAACTAATATAGAAAATAAAATATGAATGTAGGTTAGTTAAATGCTTATATTAAATATTAATGAATGCGTTAGGTAAACGTCTATCACAAATGGATAGGGAAATGTGTGCTTAGTTTATATGAACGTGGAGCGTGAAGTTCCGACTTGTTCTGACGCAATATGCGGACAAAGTTAGTTTTCGCTCCAACGGTAGGAATTCTGTTTCAATGTTATATCGTCAGTGGCTTTTCAAACTCTATTTTTTATTGCCAATATACTTTTTGTCGGTCTTTTATGCTTACTTTACTTGAATTGTACAAATTGTCTAAATCAAATAAAACATTAAAAAATATTTTATTTTTTTCATTGACTTATTTTTATTGTATTATACTAATAATTTATTATTAATATATTATTATTAGTAATAAAGAATAAAACTTTTTGTCTTCTCTTAATTTTTTATACATAAATAAATAAACAAATAATTTATGTATAGAAATAAATAAATAAAAGCTTTGCCTGGAGTATATTCTTAATTTTATTACATTAAAATTAGTGATAGGAAAGTCAGAAAATCACTACAATCTTTCTATAGTTTAGGATATCTTCTTTTTTTGAGTTACAATTATTTTAATTTGTTGCTACATATTATGTAGGTATATTATAGTTACAACTGTCACTTTTTAATTTAAAAGTAATTAAGTTTATTTTATTAAATCTGAAATACTGTTTAATTACTTCCCCTTCTCTTGTTCCGATCATTAGTATTTTTGTTTAAAATTATTCATATTTAAGTATATTATTAGTGATTTTAAAATCAATTGCAATTAGCACTGGTAAAACGCGAATCTATTAAAATTTAATTATCTTATCGGGTCATAATTGAAAGCATAAGTAATTCATTTTTCTTTTAGTGTGTACATGTTAATCAAATAATATATATTTAATAATTATCTATAATATTACCATGGAACGTTAATTGTATATACGTCAATTATACATATTATTCTGTTATCATAATATATTATCATAATTCAATATAGTATATTATACGTAATATTAATTGAAAATTAATTCAATCTATTACTATTTACGGCAATTCATAAAACTAATTTAAAATAAACTGCGTAGTATTTTCTATAAAATGTTAGATTATCCTCTTGCATATTATTACTTACATACAGGGCTCGGGACTTAAAGCATTTGCTTATTTTTATGGATTAACTTAAAATGTAGCAGAGTGCTATAGAAGTGTATGTCAACACGTACAATTATGAAATTTGAAAGTGTCTTTTTTTGCTTATTTGACCATTTTTTTTTTACGTTTTTCTAGTTTTCTCCTGCAATATCGTTTATGATAGAATTAAAATTAATAATAATTTTTATCTACGTTGTCACGTAGTTCGTCACAACAAAGATGTTCCAACGTTGAAAATAGAACCGAGTGTCAAACGTCAAAATGATCAAGACTAGAGAGAACAGTTTATATTTTATTTTTCAGAAAAATCTCTTAGAAAATCCATAAAATCCTAAAAAGTCTTGAAAGTGAAGATTTATTTTTATTTTGTTTAATTTTTTAGTTAGAATTTTATAGTTTTTTTAATAAATATTTTTGTTTAATTTTAAATTTTTTTAATGCTTATTTTAGTGCTTATAATTATGTTTTTAAGTGTTTTTTTTAAGCACTTATTTTAATGATTTTAAGTGCTATAAGTACCGAGCCATGCTTATGTTTAATATTTTTCAATTTGGTTCTACTACTTCATTAACCTTTAGAAATATCAATTGATCCTACCGATCTCTTTCAAAATCTTTTTTTTTTTTTTTGAGAATAATGATTTTTTTGTATTAAGTTTTTGAGAATAATTGGTTTTAATTAGGGATGGGTCTAACTGAAGTTTTCACAAACTCGAACCAGAACTCGAACATAATTTTTTTCTCGAACTGTTCGAACTCGAACTTGTTTGGTATTTCGAACTATTTTTGAACTTTAGATATTTCTATCTTTGAATAATTAAAACATTTAAAAGTTAAAACTTTAAAATTTGAGTTTTAACTAACTAGGTATTACAAACTAAAAAGTTCAATATTATAAAAGAAGTAAAATTATTAAGTAATGTCATTATTATTTAAAACTTATTTCTAATTACTATATAACTTGTTAGTTATTTATTTATATTTTATTGTTCGAATTCGAACTTTTTCTCAAACTTCGAACTGTTCGAATTTCTTAAAGTTCGAGGTGTTTGAGTGTTCGAAGTGTAGGTGAACCCATCCCTAGTTTTAATAGATCAATACTGCAATATCATTCATTCGGTCGTAGAATTTTACTCATTTTTATAAAAGAAATCTGAATATATTTATACATTTAATTTATTCAATTCAGTTACAAATTAAAAATAAAAAGTTCTAGCATATTTATATATATGTTACCGGCAATATGGATAGTTCAGGTATTTAGCAAAATGTTTATGCATTATGCAAATTGCCGACCCATTTTAGGCAATGTAAATAAAACATATGATTTTCAATATTATTTTACATATAACCTAGGTATTTTATAAAATATCTAGGCATTATATAAAATGCCAATTTTTACATTATTACTCATATTACAGACAAAATTTAATTTTTATCCATTATTATATTATTACTATTATATAAATATTTTACTTAACTACTATTTACTTATTATAATATGTTGTAGAAAAGTGACGATTTGAAGTGCACAAATTGTTATTTTTAAGGCAAATACACTTTTTATTTTGACACTTGGACTTACAAGCACATTTCAAAAACCCTTGGCCAATTCTTGTGGATTGAATTTTTAACAACTCATTATACTGTTCATCAAATAAAAAACTAGTATTAGTGGCCAAATTTTTAAAAAAGATATGTAGTTTGTTATAAAAATTTTATTTCATATAAATCTTATGCATAGTTGCAACACAAAAACGAGTCACGAAAATAATGAGAAAAATTACGATATTGTAATAAAATTAGTAGTACATGCAATATTGTATCTCAGAATTATTATTATAGTAATAAAAGAATATTAATGTTTATAGTGTTAAATGGTGAATGCTCATTTATGATAAATGATAAGTAAAGTCGTTGGTAATAGGCGATGTCCAATTTTGTTTGTTTTTTTCATGTTGCCTACTCCACAATTGGCATTATACAAAATACTTAGGCAAAGCTCGTATTATGTATATTGCTGAGTGATTTTTGGCATTTTATATAATGCCTAGGCATTTTGCAAAATACCGGATTATCCATATTGCCGGTAACATATATATACGCCTATTTTCATTATTTATTTCTACAATCAATAGTTTACAACTTATGGTTAATTATTTATTTATGTAACTTAAAAGTATAATATAATAGCACTGTAATATAAATATTATTTTTTATGGTTTTTTGTATGTTATTTCAAATTTTATAATTTTTTTTAGGTGCTACATATGGAACAGGAATTACAGCAATCAAGTTAACGGCTCTTGGACGTCCTCAGCTGTTGGTAATTATCAATTGTATTATGTTTAAATGATATAAATTCTAATAGAATAGTTATCACCAAAACCTAAATTTATCTATGGTTATTTGAATTAAAAAGTTATATGAAATACTAAAGGTTTTGTAGAATTTCACCAACCCCTCTTAGAAGTAATATTTTTGATTTTAATTATTATATTTTAATTGAAATTATAAATTTAATGTTTATTTATTTGATTTTGGGTATTTTATTTTTATTTTTTAGTTCAACAATTAAAACTATTTAGTAATTATTATACCAGGTTAAAAATTATTTTTTTGTGTATTAATATAATATAAAAAGAAAAATATCCACCTTTATAGGATATTTTTAAGACCTTAAGTCTATTTGAGTATTCAAATGTTGTCATTGCTTAACTAAAGTTAAGTTCAGAGCATTTAATGTCTTAATTGGAAATTACATGCAACTTAGATAAAAATATTGTACTTAATTACTGTTGCTTAGTCAGAATTTTTAAGATAGGAGGAGTATATAAGAAGAAATGTTTATATTATAGAACAACAAAGAAATGTCTGGTCACAACTATATTGTACATGTTTACCTTAATGTATGTTTATATTCTATTATTATTTTAGTTTAAATATAACAACTATTCTATTCAAAAATATTAATAAACAAATCTCAATTTACCCAATAAATATTCAAGATAATATCATATGTTAATATCATGTTCTTAGTAAACTTAAAACTACTAATCATATCTGACTTTCATAATTTTTTATATAATGAAACAATAATCTTATAAAAATTGTTAATTAAACACCATATATATATATATATATATATATATATATATATATATATATATATATATATATATAGTTAATAATAAAATAAACTGTTTTTTTAAATTATTTCAGTAATGAGATCAACAGTTACTAGAATCTTCTTATTATTGAAAAGTGTCTTTACATTTGAGATATTATCAAATTCTTATCATTATTATTATTTTTCTTATTAATTTGGTATTAAGTTAATAAATTATGTACTACATTTAAATATTAATATATTTATTTGATTACAGTTGCAATTATCTGAAGTAATTATGAGGGCTCGTACATTAGCTAGTGAAATTATGGGTGGCAAAGGAAATGTAATTGGTCAGCAACTTACTCTCGAAGAGTTAGATAAACGTTTGTTTGAAGCTGGAATAAAAGATACAAAAAAATTTTTAGAGAAAGTCACCAAAGATAGTCAAGGGTAAAAAAAATTTTATAAATAAAAAATCACACTCAAATTTTATACCTATTATCTTTATTTTAGTGTTATTCATTTATTCCCATGGAGTGGTCTGTTGAATGAAAATTCTGAATTAAGTGATACGTTCCGTGTGCCTTGTTTGAAAGAAGGTCGTATGGTTAGGCTATTATCTCAGTTGTCTAAAAAAGAAGAAGAAATGTTCCGTAATATGGTTCATCGACTAAATACATTAGTTCAAGTAAGAATTACCATTTTGATTAATTTATTAAATTTGTTATAAGACTAGTTTCTAGATACGTGAAGTGTCAAGCACTTCTCTAAGATTAGTGTACTTCTAATTTGTGTATTGTATTAGCTTCTTATGCAAATAGAAACTCATACTTAAAAATATTTGATGTAATTGTAAATATTTTTATAGACTGCTACAGATTTAGATGTACGTATAATGATTGATGCTGAACAAACTTATTTCCAACCGGCTATATCTAGATTGACTCTTGAATTGATGCAAAAATATAATACAGAAAAAGCTGTTGTATTCAACACATACCAATGTTACCTTAAAGATACACTTAATGAAGTCAAGACTGATTTAAATCAAGCCAAGCGTCAAAAATTCTATTTTGGAGCCAAACTCGTGAGAGGTGCTTACATAGATCAGGTAGTTAAGATCAATCAGTGTTCTTTATATTTCAATTTTAGTCAGTATTCATTTATATATGATATATTCAATAGGAGAGAGCAAGAGCTGCAGCATTGGGTTATACCGATCCAACCAATCCATCTTATGAAGCTACCACTAAAATGTATCATGATACACTGACCGAATGTTTAACACGTATCAAGGTATTGAAAGACCAGGGAGATGTTGCCAATAAGATTGGTATAATGGTTGCATCACACAATGAAGATACTGTGCGCTTCGCATTATCACAGTGAGTTAAATTAACATTGTTTTATCAAATTTATGTTTTTATGTCCAACACAATTAGTAAACCTTTCAATGTTATATCTAAATTGTAATGCGGTAGGTAATAATCAAAACGGGGTTAGAAATGGAAAGGGTACTTTTGTTAATTTGATAAATTTTGCAGAGACACATAGAATAGTGTCTAAAAAAGCATTTCCAACACCATCCAATACAAGCAAATAGTGATTACTGGAATTAAATGCAGAAATGGATATTACACAAAAACCATAAAACAAAACAATACAAACAGTACTCATCATTATGAAAACCACCACCAACATAATAATTTAAAATTTGTTTCATAAAACATTTTTTGTTTTTGTTTTCCTCGCTTATCAGAATGAAAGAAATTGGAATCTCTCCAGATGACAAAGTAATCTGCTTCGGACAACTGCTTGGCATGTGTGATTTTATCACCTTCCCTTTGGGTATGTTTTATAAATAAAATATTTATTCTTATGTGTTACGTTAACTATTGTTATTCAAATTGTACAGGCCAAGCAGGATACTCGGCGTACAAATACATACCATATGGTCCAGTCAACGAAGTACTACCATATCTTTCTCGTCGAGCTATGGAGAATAAGGGTGTGCTAAAGAAACTTGTCAAGGAGAAAAAATTACTGAGAAAAGAACTTTTTAGGCGTATAATGCATGGGCAGTTTTTCTACAAACCTAATGGAAATTATACCCCAGTTTAAAAATTACATTTAAGCTTTAATGTATCATAGTAAGCGCAAGTCTCTCTAATGGTATGCCGATTAGTCAATGTTTTTATTATCATCCCTCCAACCTAAACTAACTTAACACAAGTGTTTTATGACAAATTAAATCTAAATTGACAGTACTTATATGGATCAGTATTATAAACATAAGTATGATTTTTTATTTCAGAATCTCATGTTAACTAAGTGTAAACTTGTACTTAAGGTAATAAAAAATATATATGTTTTATAACCATGTTCTTTATACAAGAAGAATAATATTTCCTTGTTATTAACTAATCGGTTGACATTAAATTGCGCTTTTTAAATTTATGCCGGCCTTTATTTTTAGAAGACAGTTTATTATTATAAATTATTTACTGTTTATAAATAAATTGTGAAAGTATAAATGCATATACATAAAAATGAGTGGATTTCACATTCTGTAAAAAAAAAAAAAAAATGTTATGTTATGTTGTTTTATACAGATCGTTTAGTGATCTATGCTGGTAAAAATATTGAGCTACTGAAGTATAAAGTATCACCTATTTGTGACTTTATAAGTGATAATATATTAATATGTATTTGTTGAATATTAATATTTATAAAAGTATTATTGTCTTTTTCAGCTGTAGTAATAATAATAAGATTATTTAAATTATTAAGAATTTGTTTGAAAATTGACTTTAAGATACTGATTATAATTTAAAAATAATTTTTTTAAGGATGCAATAGTAATAATAAATATGGGGTTCTATGTAAACAATATTATAATCGACAATTTTAAATATTTATTTATACTCTTAAAATATGATTAGTGTTCTAATATTTATAATATTATTATGAGTAAAGTGAAGAATAAATCAGTTTCCATCGTTTTGAATACAGTTTTTGTTACTAAAACTATCCTTAATGTTTTATAGTATCTAATTAAATAATTAAGTTAATACACATTGTATCTTAAAGAAGCTTCTTTTTGAATTTTCTCTGCTAAGGAAAAACTTAAAAATAATACTTGATTTTTTCTTCAACAACCTTTTTTTGTTTCTTTTGGTACCGTCAAATGGTGTTACTTGGGGCACTATAAAATTATGATTGTAGGTAACTTAAAAACTATTTAAGTTAGGGAATTTCATGTGATTACAAAAAATCTGGGTCCTACTTTGTTTTATGAAAATATTATTGATTTGAGTTTTTTCTTAAACTCCTATATATTTATTTTTTATTTTTTATGCTTATCCCAAGTTGTACCATAAAAGTTTAACTTGGGGCAAACATATAATTATCATACAAAAACTAAGTTTCCTTTACTAAGACTTATTTGGGGCAAAAAAATAATATTTTTAAAAGATTCCTTGAATTTTTTTAAATAAGAAAAACATTTTGCATTTATTTTTGAAACAATGTACACTAATTAAAAATAAATTAAAAAAAACAATTGAATTATAGATTTATATATTTCACATTAATTATGTTTTTATATTTGAAAACAAAATAATATTTATACAAATTAAAAACCCTAGGTATGTAGGTAATACATTATGACTTATGTTGTATCAGTCTACTATTAAATCAGAATACTTATTTTAAATTATAATTAATTAACATATTTTAACAATGAGAATAGCAATACATAATCAGTCTTGATTTTATAATATTTTCAGATTTAATTCCCATTAACAACATTTTTAACATTTTAAATTTCACATAAATTATGTGAAATGTCATGTGAGATTAATGGAAATCCACATTTACTAGCTACAATAAGACCTTTGACTAAATCATGTTCTTCCAACTGGTGATAAATTTTAATCATGGCGTTGAATTGTGGATTTAGAAATGCCAAACTCTTCAGATGTTTAACGTTCAGTCAATTTATGAGATTTTACAAGAAGTACTGCTCTTTGAAGTGTTTCTTCATTATATGTTTTGTATGGTCTTACTCCAATTTTCTTTTTTTGTCCAACCATTTCTTTAAAAGAAAAATTATAAATACATTATTTTATAAAAAAAAAAATCAATAAGTAGATAACTTAATATAATCAAGCCAACCATATTATATTATACCTATATAATTCAAATTAAACACTAGTAAAAACAAATAGGTAAAGATGTATTTTTAACTAATTTTACTAGGTATGTACAATCTACTAAGTTTTATCCTTGTGTAACATGGACCACCTTGCCCCAACTTACACATACATCACTAAAACTTAAATAACTTAATAAATATTATACTTATAAATGTAATAAATATTAAAATATAACAATTACATAAATTAGAAACTTATTTTTATTTATCACATCACTCAAAAAACAATACTTTTTCTTGTTTATATAATACTATTAAGGTATGTCAAATGCTTAACAAATTATACTATTTTATTATACATATTAAATATACTTACTAATAATTTCTGATCTTCAATTTAAGTTCTTTCTGAAAAAAATTTTTCAAAAAAAATATTGAAAATAGTGCGATAACGCTATAACTTGATACCATGGCCTTATGGCGCGAAAAATAAAAACATATGATTTTGGTCCAAGTTGTACCACTGCCCCAAGTATAACCATTTGACGGTATACAATTAAATTGTATTATATTGGTTATCAATTTTATAGAAGCCATAAGATTAAATTTGAACTATTTTATCTCAGAATCAACACTTAAAAATTTGTTTTAGTTATTAATTTTTTAATTTAACAAGTTTTAATTGTAGTGAGAACATTTATTTTTTATAAATATTGTTTTAAGTTTTTGCTTATTACTGTTGTATCCTCTTTTTATACATCTATTTATGTCCTAGTCAGTTTGAGATTAATCCTTATAATCCAGGGACGTGTTTAGACTTACTTCTAGGGGGGGGGAGGCTCAAATTTTTTCTTTAATTTAGGCTCACAATGTACAAGTAAAATTTTTGGTAATATTTAAATCAGGTGAATTCTTAATTGTGGTTATTTTTTTAACACCTGTCTATGTTTTGAAAGTTACGCTTGTGTTTTATTTGATTTTTCACTAAGTATGATCTTGACAAAAAGCCCAATTCAGTATTCACAGCTAAGTTTAATTTAATTTCATTATAAAATGATCCTCATTAAAAAAATTTTAAATGTGTATCTCACATTTAATTGATTCATTAAATATGGATTTAGGGGGGGGCGATCATCTCCTTTGCTCCCCCCTAAAATACGCCCCTGTTATAAATTAAAAACGACCAATATAATTTTTAATTGATTATTAATCTATATTGAATATAGATGCTCATAAAAATTATGTCTTCAATCTTCAATTTTTATCTCTAATTCTATATAGTTACCTATTAAAAATCAATGTATTTGTGAACTTGCTTATATATTAGCAGCATAAAAAGTAGATGAACATTCCATTGCTCATGAAAGTTATCACTAGACTTATGGACTTATAGCTCTAAAAAATACACAAATATGCATTTATATGCATTAAAAAAAAAAAAAATGACCACGTAGTACACAAAATAAAACGTGGCCATCGGATGTAAATGTATCTTTAAACTTCGAAAAAAAACTTTTTAGTCGGTTACTCATAGACTCTTGTACTTTCGGCATTACACAATGTTACAAAATATATGCGTACGACGTTTTAAGTATGAATCGACGTTGTGTGTTAAACAGTAGTTTGCAGGTAGCATATTACTGGAAGTACCTCTTAGTACATTTTTTTTTTCAAACAGTTGAAATATGTTATTTGTATCTATAGTTTTTAATTTTAAATAATAAAATTTGAAAAGTTTGTCAAAATATGCAAAATAAGCATAACAATTTTAAAAAATGCACTCTCCTGCAAAATCTATCAAATATGCAAAAATATGCACATTCAAATTTTAGATCTGATATAACACTGAGAAACAAATTTATTTCGCACTCTGCTATATTTAACAATAATTAAAAAAATATGCAAATGCTAGAAGTCCCTAAGCCTAGTTATCACGAATAAACTTTGGATCTTAACCATACATAATATATTATTTATTTTCTTGTAGGAATGGAATACTGCAGTGTACAGTACAGTGGAACCTCGATTATTCGTGTTCGCGATTAACCGTGCTCATTCTTCCGAAAATTTAAAAATAACTATGGACTGTAGATGTATATGTATGTGCAGTGGCACCTTGAACTTCTTTTTCTAGATTTACATTTAATATTTTTACACCATACATCTTAAAATAATGTTCACTGCTCTTCAAAAGGTGAATTCATAAGTTTTTAGTAGATAAGTAATGAGTATTTAATTGGTATATATAGTAAATATAGAACCTTGAGTCACCCCTAAACCAATTATTGTTTTATTATATAACAAATCAACCAACCCATTAATAATTTTGTGAATCACGTGATTCAAATATACCTAGCCGGTTAATAGCTGACTCATATTTTCTTGGGGTGTTGACGGGTAGGTCCAGGGTAGTATTGTTCTTATAATTTCATTGAGTTTCGTGATCATTTTGTTCCATTGTGTTTCCCATTGATGAAGTGTGTTCCTTACGATGCCATTTTTTATGTTACTGTATGAAACGGGGTAGGAGGAAAGAACATCAGTAGATGTATGAGCTTGTTTGGCGGCCTTGTCCGCACGTTCATTACCATCGACCATTGATTATTAAACTATCGAATCTATAGGCTAATGGGTATCAGGCACGTAGTCAGAAAATATTCACCAGGTGGGCCCCCTCCTCCCAGGACTTTTTTATAAAAAGGTATTTATCAGCATATCATTACTACAAATATATATGTATATAACCTAGTAATACCATATTTTATCATTTTGCTCTTCTCTTTGTAATTTTAGTTTTCTTTTGGCACATCCACTGAGAGGTACCATTTTAAAATTAATTTAAATATTAAATATATAAGATAAAATGTATAAATACTATAAATTGTACAAATATTAACGCAGGTGTTGTTAGCATAAGTGCGGCGTGCGCTGAATGTGAATGTAAGTGCCATATCGGAGACCATAATATAATTCTATATGAACCAATATGACAATACTCTCGCTCAAAGTATTTTAAAAATAGACATACAAGTATACAGTAGTCACTGTCTAGATATGATAAGAACAATTTGACATTGTAGTATAGTACCGGTATTTAGCTATAAAATAGCAATTATCTCCTAATCGATCGTTTAAATTTAGTTACAAGTTACATTACTTTGATTATAATTAAAACCCGATGTATTTGATTTTATTTGCGTCATATTTTGGCAATATTAAAAATTTGGTAAAAATTAAAAGCAATCATATAATAATGAGCCCCTCTCAATACTTTAGGTTGGCCGGCCTAAGGCCGGACACATATTAGGGTGGGCCAGGCACACCCTGACCCTCCTTTAGCTACGTGCCTGAGGGGTAACTTTGCTACCCTAGAGATTTTTATGGGGTAGCTAGGGTATCTTATCTTTTCGCTATTTCAAAAAAAGTTATAGATTTTAAAATGTATTCCAATTTATTATTCAAGTGTGTACGTACATAAACCATCTATTATTGTGGTTGTTTCCAAAATAATTATATTTTGTGATAAGCTCTATATGTCATACCAAGATTTATGAATAGTTAGCCAGTTGAGCCAATTATTATGTTAAGCCTTTAAAAATTTATTTTTTAACTTTCTAAAAATAAACTTTGTTACCCCTAAATTTGGACTTCAGTGACGCCCATGATTGAATCACTTTTGGAATAAACTTTTAGTTTTCACTATCGCCGTACGTATCGTTCCGACGTAGTCTAATGAGTGCTAAACAAAAACGTGTTATTCTTTCTTTAGAGAAAAAAGTGTTGATTACTAACCGGGCTGTAGATCATGGTCAGTGATGGTCAGTCAGAACCGTGTCAAACATTTCAGCGTCCCTTTGACCCCCCCCCCCCCCCCTAAACACGATCCTATGGTCAGTGATCGAAATAGCTCAAGATAAGTGGAGGTATGCCTTACAATTCAGATTTCCTGATATAATCATAACATTCTTCACACCAGGTCCTTGTGTACCTATATTTTATTATTATTTATAATTCACATAAAGTATATTATCTATAATATACTTATATATACTATAATATATTTATAGGAGCGTTTAAACACAGGAATGCACCTTAAGCATTCTCCGCATGCGCGTAATTTATTCACCACTATTATAATGTTAGGCTGTTACATAGAGTTACTCTATGGAATGTTATCAATATATTATATCAAATCACTATAATACGATAATAATATTATAATAATATGAATTACGAATCTAACTATTCAAAATTTATCTACATACTTTCTATGAAAATAATATATTGTAATTTTATTTTAGTCGTTAAATAATAATGTTCAGTTTCGTTATAATTTCATTTTGTAATAGTATACTATTGAGATGTTTAGTTTCAACTCTAGTTATTCTCTAGTTATAACTCTGTACTATGTATACATTATATTTTTTCATACGTATTTTATAGTTACTACTTATTTACAATTATAACCATAAAGAAATTAATAAAAGTAATATGAACCACGTGCGAATCGCAAAATAACAAATAGGAAAAAGTTACGAAACAGCATTAGCAACCAAATGTATTCAGCCATCCAGTATATACGCTCCGCTTATATTTGTTACTATCATTTACTTTGTCTATGTTGATGTTAAATAAAATATTAGTAATACCATAATAAGTATTCTTGATAAAGTTATTAATTTAATTCTAAAATCCTTACATCTTAATATTGTGTAACGATGTTGAACTCACAACTCGGCACACTACACTAGTTAGTTTTGATAATTCATACTTGTACTTACTATTAAGATAATGTCATTTATATAGATATTAGATAATATTGAATTTTTATGTTAAAGATGTTTGTGAATACTCAATAAAACATTTAGTAAATATGCTTTGTGTAATAAATTTTGATAAAATCTGGTTTATGAAATGTTTAAATAGGTAATTGGGTAAATGTAGATATAAATAAACATTATTAAAAGCCATCTCAACATATTTTATACCGCTGTATTTCGTTTCCTGTCCTTATCATTTTTCGGACAACTGCCCCAACTCCGGGCCATCATCATAGATTACACATTTCGTGTTATCACGAGATAACTGACGACAAGTAATCACAGAAACAAGGAGATAATTAAACCACAGAATAGATTAATTAATATTAGAAATTAATTAATCTATTCTGTGATTAAACTATCGCAGTAAATCACGCATTTTTGAATTAATCTAGAAAATCAATTCATGTCTACGAACTATGAACGTTTCGGACATCGTACACAATAAAACAGTTGATAGTTAGATATTCGATTTCTGTAAATCTAAACCGTGTACTGCCAACAGTCCAACTATGCTGCCATCGATCGCACAACAGCCATCAAATCAAACGCTGAGGCTCGTTGACAAAGATCGGCTGGTCGTCCAACGCGTCCGCGTGAAAGCTCACGATAAACTGATATCCAAGTCAGCGGAAGCGTCCAATTCGCAGCAAAATGTATTGGATAACTTGTGGGACCTGTCGGCCGATTTTAATTTTAGTCAGAATTCGAACAACGATGAACTTTTGGATCTGGGCAACAGTCAAACGTCTTCTTTTTTTCGTCAAGTATCCGGCGACGATAGAGTCTCGTGGGAAGAAGAGAAAAAAAACACCTCCCCTTATTATAAAACAATTAATGGCTTCGGATACTACTCTTGTGATTCGTGCCCATTCCTTTGTTTAAATACTAAATTATTTTTAGAACATAATGAAAAAGACCATCATATTAATCATGCTCCCCTAAAATCCCTATTGAGAATCAAATGCATTGGCTGTGATAATATTTTTTATTCGCTGAATGTCCTTCGGGTAAGTTGACATTGTACTTTAATTAAATTGTATTCTAAAATTTAAGGATCATTTACTTATGTGATTTTACTGTTTAATGATTATTTAGGTTAGTCAATTACAATTATTTTCAATATACCTATGTGCTCTGTTTATGCATATTCCAATTATTTGTAGAACATGTTCTTTCAGCTATTTTTTTAGCATATATACCTTGTAGGATCTAAGTTTTTCTGACTATTAATAAAATCAGTGTACAATAATTATTTATACGTCATACATTTAGTATGTGTCTATGAATTACTTTAAATTCCAAAATCAAAAACTGTATAGTATAATACATATTATATATTTTGAATATAAATTAATTAATATTATGAGTTATTTTATCTTATATCCATTCGAGACTTTGAGGTATTTTCAGCAGAACATAGTATCCTAGAACATTTTTTAATTTCAGTTTATTTCATTCATATATTTATGTTTATAACAAACCAACATATTACCTATTTTTTTAAGAATTCACAAATAGGTAGGTAAACTAATACTCAAATAGTTATATTTTTAATTATGATTTATTCACCATACATTTTAGTGGCATTTGATTGAAGATCATGATGTTTTATCTTTTGAAGTTGATGAATTAATACAACTTGTAGTTGAAGCTAATAAAGAAGATACTTTATACCTAAATGGTAAATACTAATAATATTAATATTGTATTATTTTATATAATTTATAATATTATATATAATATATATTATATTATATATTTATACATTTTTTATAACTTATGTAGATGGAATGTCTCTGAAAATAACTGAAAACAGTAATCCAACGGATTTTGATGATACTAATGAAACAATACTGGACACTTCAGATTTTGGTCAAAAGTCACATATCATTGATACTCAAACACACATTACAAGTAAAATTGTAGTTGTATTTTTGTAATTTAAATTTATAATAATATGATAAAAACAAATCGTTTTCATTGTAAAATAATGTAAAATACAATGAAAATTCAAAACTATATCTTTTAAATTCTTTGTGAAAGTTTTTGGAAATACTTTTTTAAGTTATACTCAATATCATAATTATCATGTTGTTTTTAATTTTCGATAGCGCTAAATAAAATATTAACTTTAAATGCAAGGAAAAGCAATTATTCCTAAATAAAGTAAATAATTTGTTAGACATTTAATATTGCTTAACGATAAATACTATGACACTATTATTATTATAACAATTACTATTTTCCTATTGATTACTGATTATATAGTTTTTACATTATAAATGTTTGAATTGGGTCAATTTAATATAGACCAAAATGCATAAGTTTTCTTATCGTTTTTGGTCCATTCCAATTACCTTTAAGCATCAAATTCCAGTAAATAATTGGCAGAATATCTTTTTTAAGTAAAAACATGCTGTGCAACTCATTTCCTTGGTTAATTGGGAATGTTTCTAATGGTTTTAAATCATAATTAAACTCTGCTAAAATGCATTTGTTATTACTGGTGATTATTGGACAAGATGTATATCCATCATACTTCTCTTCCATGTTTTTACCATTTATAACATTTATCATGTTTTTATGGACAACCTTGCTTTGCGCTGCTACAGCAGCTACTGTTTTTGATGTCGGACAACTTGTACAATCTCCTATTCCAAATATATTTCCATAAATGTTATGACGCAGTGTGTAAGGATCAACATCTAAATACCCAGCACTGTTGCTAAGATTTGATTGAATTAAAACATCTGGTGGACTCATTGGTGGTGTTACATGAAGCATAGAATATTCTACAGATTCTACTTTATTCGGTTCATCAAGAAATTCAAAAGTTGCTATTTTTTGAGTAGGATTAATTTTTATCAAATTTTGTCTAGTCTCAATTGAAATATTACGCATATTACATATTTGCTGTAGTTTTCGACCATATTTTTTGACTGAAAATAGAGCAGGTGTGGATGTTTTATACATAATATTGGCTTTATTTCTTATCCCTTTTTTTTTCAAATAATCTTCAGTAATATACATAACTTTTTGAGGAGCTCCTGCACATTTAATTGGTGTATTAGGTAATGTAAATATTGCATTTCCACTTTTGAAATTCTGTAGTACTTGATAAGTTTTTTCTACATATTGAGATGAATAGTTGGTACATACACCACTATCTTTAGAATCAAGAGCTTCCTTTAAGCCAGTGATTTGTTCATAATTTAATTGTAATCCAACCGACACAACCATATAGTCATAATGAATTGTATCCCCGTTTGAAATAGTTACACTATTATTTTTTGGGTTAAAACTATGAACTTTGTCTTGGATCCAACTTACATTCTTTGGAATGAGTGATTTGGTAGAACAATAAGATTGTGAAAGGGTTTTCATACCTCCACCTATCAACGTAAACATTGGTTGATAGTAATGTTTTTCATTTGGCTCCAGCATGATTACATCCCTTTCGTACTTTGAGAGTTTAGCTGCCATTGTACATCCTCCAGAACCTCCACCGACAATAAGAAATTTGCAGCTGTGTTGAATATGTCTGGAAATCATGTGAGTCGAGAACATTGTGAAACAATTAAGAGAAAATTTTTACTTAGTAGTTGTGAACTGATATATTATGGACTATTTTAAGAACTAAATTGTTATTATGTTTAATATCATTCAACGTTAACAATAATTTTAAGATTATTTTGTTATCTTAATTATTGCTGAACATAAGCATAAGCTTAACTGATAATTGCGAATTTTATTAACTTCTCAGGATGTAGGTATATAATAAATAACCAATTGACGGCCAACGTTTTTATTCTCTAAACAATCACATATATTGTGTGAATTTTATAATTATAACATTTAATAGTATTATACAACTATTTATCGATAATTATTTTCAAAATATCGATATAATTTCACGATATTATCGATATATAGAATATAAAAATGAAAATATTTATATTTATTTTCGGAAATAACAATATAAACTTTTACATTATAGATTAATAATAGAAAATTGTAATTTCGATTTAATACAGATCTAAAATTATTGATTTTATAAAATACATACTATTCTGCTTTCTATTACCATCTTCATTCGTGAGCTTTTTGTATTACTATACATTATAGGTATTACACGGTAGCACGGTTGACATCTATTATCTTAATTAAATGTTATATACAGAACAATTGCAAGAAACAAAAACCGAATAGTTAATAAATAATTTTGTTATGATTTATAAATTAGTACAGCGGATCCCAAACTGTGAAGCGCGCCTCCCTTGGAAGGCGCAATCACTTACAGGCACAAGGCAAATATTTATGTTGTATGTTTCACTACCATATATTTATTCATGGGTCGGCAATAATTTGCTTATATTTAATTAATAAAAAATTTTTTTATTAAGAGACGCGATTAATTTAGTTTTTTTTTTTGTTTTTGAGGATGTGTGCCCTAAAAAGTTTAGAAACTGCTGAACTAGTTAAATTGTATGTAATTTTTTTTTCAAAGCTTATAATCAAATAAATTTGTATTGAATGTGTAGTGTGAATGGTATAATTGTGTCAGTGGAGCACAGTAGATTTTTGACAAGGGTGTCGAAAATATATATTTCGAGATACCCACATACCCCACCAGTAAAATCTGAGTTTAGGCATAGTATAATTCTTATTTTTAAATGTTTTTGGTTTTTTCTTACTAACAAAGATACTAAAAATAAATTTTTTTTAAATAAACCTAATATTAATTATTTTTCAATATTTTGGGTATTAATTTATAAGTTTGTATAGCATAATTTTTGGGATTGAGCTCTACTACTTATTCTCATGTAACGCTTTAGTTCTAGGTAAACATAATTAGTATGTTGATTTGGATAGCTGAAAAATTGGTTAGTATTAAATTAAACAAATATTCATAAAAGTTCACACAGAACCAGTGGCGCCGATCTCTATATCCAAGTATGGTGACTGCCATAGTGAATTATGTGGTGGGTGGGTACTGGGTGCTGGGTACTGGGTAGATGACACATAGCGTGGTACCCACAGCCCAATGTGTAAAATGTTCTATGAAAGTATTAAAACTATTTAATATTTAACATTATTACATAAAAACACATCAGTTGTGATTACGTCAATAAAAGCCAGAAGATCGTAATATTAACACAGATAATACGATAACAATAGTGCGATGTGGTGAAAATAAAACATTTATATCGGCTGTATCATACATTATTGATAAGTCACAAAATGAAAAAAGATATATATATATATATATATTAATATCAATTTTGAATACAATATTATGGTACGGTTTCAGCCCCCCACCGTTTACACCAATTGGTAGGTGGTGGGTAGGTACTATTAAAATTTGATATTCGTCATACTGCATTTTTTGTAGTTCGGCGCCACTGCACAGAACTTATCATCCACCAATTCTCTGAGGGGTGTCAGTCGATACCCTTGACCCTCCCTGTGTGCGCCACTGATTGATGTGTATATATTTTCATACAAATGTGTAACTAACATTCGCAAAAAAGTATTATCAATGTTAATTGTGTATAATTTTGTTTTACACATTTATACGATGCATTTACATCCGATTTCTCCGGTTTTTTATTCTCCGTACATAATATATTTATTATTATTTTTTACTAATTGTACATTTTTCCTCTAACTATACATCACGTACATCTCATAAGTCATATTTAAATTAAATTTAATTTAGTATACACTTAAAAAATTAACCATTCAAAAATTTAATTTCTTCGAACAACTGTTATAGATATATTAAATTCTAGTCACTACATTTTAACCAATGTTCAGAAAATGAAATCATTATGTAAACATTGCAGACTTTTGGTTTTTAAAATGTATAGTTCCTGTTTCCTTGTTGTTTTGACCGCACAGAGTTACGGTGTGTGTGGAGCATCGGATAACTATACCTATATTTTTATGTACAAACGTCAAACTTTAGACTATTTCACGTTAAACGTTCTAAAGTCCTACGGTTAAAAAACCTAATTTATAACACTGTTATTTTGTAATTATAATATATTATATTATATTATTATAATTTATTGTCTTCAGTTACGTATGTATGTAATTGAAGACAATAAATTATTATCTTGTACTCTTTTACGGGGGGAGGGGGGACGTTGCATCGTTTATATTTTCTTAAGGCCTTTTTAAATATACCTATTAACTATACTTTATCATCGATTGTAAATTATTATTAATTATAATTTATGATCAATAATGTTATTAAGGAATTTTTATTTTCTGAAAACGAAAAATAGATTTGATAACTCGTATGAGGTGTAGGTAGGTACTTGAATTATTGATTAACTATTTAATATTGAATAACAAAAGTTAATTTATACTTATGTAAAAAGAAACCGACAAAAGTATTTTATATTACTGGGTCGATAAATTCAACAGTTTATTTCCGTAATTTTATTATCAATTAAATTATTCATTTATGATTTATTATAAAGAACAAACCGAAATTTAAAATTATTCTATAGGCATAACTTCTAAGGTTGAATTATTAATTTTTTCAATTACATGCAGTTAATTTAATTGTTAATGTATCTATCCTTTTTACTTGTGATCGTAGAAAATGATTTTGTTGATGATTGTTATTTAAATGGAACTTGTGAAAACATTTGGGATTATCAAGAACAAGTCTTCAACGGACTTCAACAACATAACACTGATAACGACAATAACACAATAGAAAAACGTTTAAGGTTGGTAAATAACTATATCTCAATTTCTACTTAGTTCTAAAAAGTTGGCCATTTCCATTTATATTTATGATAAGAGAACAATATATTATATTCAGTAATATAATGTATTTTAATATTGATTATGTATAAAATCTTTAATGTTTTTAGAAATTAGTAATTTTTCAACCGTCGTTTTTATCCGGAATATTATTAATAATCATAATTCATTTTATTTACCATTAAGGTAATTCATATATTTATTTGTTTATTCATCTTAATAGTTTAAAATTTAAATAATAATATGAACACATTAAACAATTAATAATTTTAGTAAAAATAATCCCGCTTAAAACTTAAATTGTAATAATATTTTATTTGAATTTGAATCGAATTTGTATTGTTAGAACTTCATAGTCTACTCTATCACATCCATATTAAATAATTCAAAGGTTACAAAGTTTTAAAATATCATTAATTTAGGTATATTTACCTATTACATAACATTTATATTAATAACTAGAGTTAGGATGTTGATGACTTGTATTTTTTTCCTATGATTCTATACAATGCTATCCTAGCTAAAAATTTGTTTCATGCTCCCTTGATGTAGAATATTCTAATTTTATTTTGCATTTTTTCACATTTTTAGCTATAAATGCATTTTTTTGTTTTTTTAACGCCATTTTTTCATCTTTGAGGTATTTTTTTGTAGTTTTTGTACAATGCGGATCATTTTTCTCAAATTTTAGATTTTAGAGCAAGTGTTAATATTTTTATATATTGCTTAAAATGTAAATATATACTATTGTTAATTAATATTATAATTTATAATTCATATTTTAAACTAATATTACACCCGTTAACAGACCCATATCTTTAATAAAAATTCTTATTATAAATACATTTTTTTCACTTAATTAGTTTTTTAGTGCATTTTTGCACTTTTTTTATGGTATTTTTTTTTAGGGCATTTTTGTGTGTTTTTTAGGTCACTAATATCCTAATTTTATTAATAACAGAGCAAAAATTATTTAATTTCTAAAAAACAATATTTTCTTTAAAATTGCAGGTGTACGTTTAAAACTTGCAAAGTTAAATTTAGAACAGAAGAAAATTTGAAATATCACACAAAATGCCATTCGGATGATGGATTTCGATGTGCCGAATTTGAATGTCTATATACCGATACTAAGTGGTTATCTATGATGTCTCATTTATGGAAAATACATAGTATAGACTTAGAAATGTTCAGCTGTAATCAATGTGGTTTTAAGACCAACAGGTATGTTGTAAATATTTGAATTAATACAATATTTTTTTAATATTGAATCTTGATTCTTATTTTTAAAAAGATAGGGAAAACAGCAATATCCAATAAACATAAATTAATAAAAAAGTATACGTCAAGCATACGTGTATGCATTTTTATTATTTGAATGATAATTAAGTTATATATCATCGATATAGTACACGAAAATCGTGTAAATAATAATCACAATTATATCCATTTTTAGCCTGTACAAATTGAATACGTTTCACAAGAAAATACACATGAAAGAAAAACCATTTTTGTGCCCGGAATGTAATAAAGGTTTCAAATCTATCAAACAACTCAGGAACCACAAAGTACGTAAATTAATTAATATACTGTTGTGTACACTTATGAAGTAGAGAGACTTAAATGACTTACAAATTATCATGCTTATGCGTCAATGGTGTTTTAATATTTTATTCGCATGCACATATTCCGAAACGAACATAGTTTTCGAATGAATTGATAAATTTCATGATATAAGTACCCAATAAAAATTAAATATTATAACTAATTGTATACTCGTATATATATATATATATATATATATATATATATATATATAATCTGAAATCCTAGTGCCCACTCTTAAGCTTTCCTGTGTATAGTCAGAACATGGTGCAATATTATGTTCACTGTTCTTACTTCTCAACCTTTGCCGTAAAACGTCTTCGATCATCGTATTTGTAGCTGTACATGTGTAATTAATCATAAATTATTGATCACGTAATATCAATAACTATTGTTCCTCTAGACTATCCACACGAAGAGCGAGAAACTTCCGAGGACCGACCTGACGTGCCTACACTGTTCCAGGGACTTCTCCACTAAAAATCTGTTGCACCAGCACATCTCCAGCATACACATACGAGTGCGACCTCACTCGTGCATGGTGTGCGGCTACACCACGGCCGTGGCCAGTTCGCTAAAGCTTCACATGCGCATGCACACCGGCGAGAAGCCGTTCAGGTGCGATGAGTGCGGCTACTCCACGGCAGATCACAACACACTGAGAAAGCACAAGATGAGGCACACCGGCCAGAAGAACTACACTTGTCCGCTGTGCAACTATTCCTGTATACAAGCCTCGTCATACAAAAAACATCTGAAAACCAAACATCCTGGTATTTTTTCCGTTTTACCGTTTTCTATTTTCCCCCACAACCTATTCGTAAATGCCGTTAATATAGCGGTGTCCCGACAATCGAAAGCGGCGTCAATTGAGCGCTGCGACAATTAAGCGCTGAGACAATTGATCACTATAATATTATACTAAACTAACTGAAAAAGTTCACTGTATTAAGTGCACAATTGCTACATACGAAATTACGAAATTAGAAATTAATTCATTCGCACTTTTTACGAATACCAATATAACCCGTCATATAATCTTTATGCTTGATAATGTTGTTACTTATTTGCCGTGTCGATACGGTGTTATTAAATCGTTTTATTAGAATAAAATTTCAACAGTTCATCTATCAATTTGGAAATATATCGATACTCTAAAAAAAAAAAAAAGGAAAAGTATAATCGCGTGAGAATTCACCAGTTTATTGCAGGTAAGTACTCAAAACCAAAAAAAAATAAAAATAAAGATTCAGGATTAAGAATAAAAAATATTTGTGAACAATTTCATTCAAGGATAAACAGAACAGATTTTAAAAGCCATTGCTCAAATAATATTAATAATAATAATATTTAATAATTAAACTTGACTCATAATGTATTATTAAACATACTTTTTTTTTTATTTGATATTTTGTTTTGCTGATTTGTACTGACTGTTTTGACTGATAATGTATTTTTAACCACACTATGACTAATTTTTTTGTTTTTTATAATTATTACCTAACCTTAGGTTTATATTGCGCTCAATTGTTTCAGCGCTTAACTTTCGTACACTCAATTGTCGTGAATCCAATATAGCCTATATGTACAAATTTAGTATGGATACTTTTGGCCTTGTGGCCAGTGGTGGCTTGAACTTTTTTTTCTTGACTCACATTTAATATTTTTACACCACTCACCCTAAAAAATTTCATTATTCTCCAAAAGTAAAATCTATAGGTTTTTAATGACTTAGTAATGGGTATTTAATTGGTATACAGTAAATATATAAACCTGTATCACCCCTCAACCAATTATACTTATATGACAAATCAATCCACCCATTAATATTTCTGTGAATCATGTGATTCAATACCTCCTTCGAGCCGACACTGTTTCTGGTTGTTATTTTTCAATGTTTTTTTTTATATTTGTCTTGATGCCGAGGAAATAATGGAAAATATTGTACAACAACACTTGTTTAGGTAGAATAAAGAATTATGAGATTTTACTGTGCTAATTTTTTTCAACGTTTAAAGTATGAAATATTTTTTAATCTAACCTGTTTCTCGAAAAAATCAAAACACAACCATAATATACTACTTGTGTCTAGTATATGGTTGATCATGATTCATATAAACTGAACGAACATTTTAAAATTTTTTACATTCGTTTTTTCGTGTAATCGTGTATTCTGCGTACGTACGTATATAGTACACGGAAAGATATATCTTTTTTTCGTTCACTTATTACATTAACACATATGTTTATAGGGATGGATGATGGTATCATGTACAGCTGCGACATGTGCAATTTCAAGACTATCCGTAAAGATATGTACATGTTACACATTGTCAAGCACAAGGAAGAAAAACTACAAAATAACGGTATATGCGAACCACTTGTCAGCTTGGACGAGGTAATATTTATAGTAATTTCACTACTCGACGCGTTTGGTGTGCTCTTCGCCAGAGTGTATTTTCCGATATCTAAAGACTTACGTGTTTTAACTGTTGTTTAGTTTGTTAAGTTTTTTATCCAGGAAATTACGTTTGAATGTTAATTATTTTACAACATTTTTGTTTATTACGACAATAATACACTTATAAACAGGCGCGGATATGGAAATTAAAAATATGGCGGGGGGGGGGGGGGGGGGAAAAAAAAAAGGTACTTCAAGTACATAAAATCATAGATATTAATTTTAAGTTTTTAAAGTGAATAAAATAATAATCATACATGCATATTATAAAATAATAATAAAAACATCTTTTGTTGAATATATTATACAACAAAATAGGCAAAATAGTGCAAATATTTAGTAGTTGAAAAAAATATTACAGTTAATTAGCAAATTATTTTGACCTATCTTATATGTAATATAGGTTTAGTAATGGATTAGGAATATTGAGGACTATATAAATAATCATGATTAATCAATCACTTCGAAATATCAATAAGCAATATAATATAAGAAGGTATAGTATTGCTTCTCTTTACTTTAATTAATAAATTAAAAATGAAGGTGATCTTAAAAATATTTTCAGTGCCTAAGTAGAGGATTAAACCTCCTATAGCCTCCTTTTTTCCGCGCCTGCCTATAAGTATTGTCGTAATTAGGAGTGGACGGGAATTATTAATCGATATGGGATCTCAAAATTTGAGAAAAGTCTGGTAATAAAAATAATATGAACGTTCAAAATTAAAAAAATTATTATCATTATCACTATGATCAATATACTATGCTATTACTACTATTTATAATTGTGCACCTATACTTTTTTATCACAATTTATTATTTTAATCCGGAATCGTGATTTTACTAATCATTTAAGGTTGTTTAATTCAAAATTGTGACTTATAATCATTTAACCTTTTTCCAATTCATTTGAAATGTTTGATGGTTTAATCATAAATTATTATCTTTAGTAGTTTAAACTGTTTCATTTTTAGTAGTTTAATCTAAAGTCTTCCAAAATATTTCGTCAAGTTCGTTGATCAATTACAAAAAAAGTTTTTCAATTTGGGAATTTTATAATAAAATTTAATCACAAAATCAAATTATAAAATATATAAAAGTATTTTAAAGACCGATACTTCATCTGCAACTGGTTTTATCCGCATCCGTACCATACTGATATATGCCATCTGGATATGCCAAATAGCAAAACCAGAAGTCAATGTCAAATGCCATTCACTGTGTCCAAATTGTAAATTCAGACAATCAAGACAATCAGTATAGTATACATTGTATACCGACAACGATTTGCGTATTGCTGCAGCAGTTATAATTATAGTCTATAATTATATCGGTAATTATAGGTGGGTGAATTAAATCTTGAATACAGATGTGGAAGTACTTTCCGGAACATTTTTCTAATGAAAAACTGTGACTTTGAGACTCTTCTTAGATTGTTTAGTCCGAGAATTAGTAAGATGTACAATAGATTTAGAAAATCTATTTTTGTTTATAAACGTCTTGCTTTTACATTGCGGTTTCTAGAAACAGAAGATTCTTACCATTTCTTAATGTTCATAAATTTTAAATGTCAAAGTTATTTCAATCATCGTTCTAAATGTTTGTAATGTTATGATCAATGTTTTACAAGATTTTAATATTACAAAAAAATTCACTAAATATTTGTACGTATAAACGTATTTATTAATTAAAAATAGTTACATTTGTTTAAAATAAGTTTAAATTTCCATTTAAAGATTATCGATTTATTAACTATCATTAGTACCAGGTCCATCTATTAATGAAGCAGGACTCACCATTGGTGTGGAAATTTTGCTAGGAGATGGAAAAGGTAGAGGATTACTGGGAATTTGAGTTCCGAAATTCGCGTACAGATGTGGTTCTGGATATGGCTGTGAAGAAATGGTAGATGGATAATCATATTTTCCCATTTCAGCGTCAAATAATACTGTGTTAATTATTTGTTTCACAACTTTTCTACTATACGGCGTTGGAAGATCACGTATTTGCATACCTACTTGCTCTCCAAATAAGGCATATTGGTCTCTCACAGATTTCTCTCCTTGTATGTCTCTCATAATAGCGAGTAATTCATCTTTTACCGAATACTTGGCTTTATTTTGAGATTTTGTGGATCTTAATGACCGCTTCTTTCCTTGTAGCATAAATGTTGATTGAATTGATACATTGTTACCATTTTCCACCACTTTTTGAAGAGTTTCATCTGGCTCAATAGCCGCGAGATTAAATGGACCCTGAAAAATATATTTTAATAAACATATTGTATTTGACAAAATAATGTTTTAAACTCTAAGAGCAAATCGATTACATTACGAAAAAATAATAAATAAATCACATTTATTTATGGAATATTATGTTATTCGAGGTCTAATTTGAATGTGTATTTAATTTTAGATAACTGAAAATGAATTTAAATGGAAAATATATAGCAAATGAAAAAGGGAATTTTCCGAATTGTGTTAGTATCTACTTTTGATGGAAAGCATGTATAATACTACACGCAGTATTTTAATTACAAGGAGTTTTTTAGTATTGTTCATTTTGTAATTGTAGACGCAAAGTAAAATTGTACTTCGCGTCTACAATTGCAAAAAGAACAATACTAAAAAAACCTTTGTAATTAAAATATAATATAAGTACAGTTTTACTTATGTAAATATGGGTTGCCAAGGTTAAATTTTAGATGTAGATGTATTTAATCATTCATTATAAATACTAATTTTACTAGTACCTATTTATAATCAATGATTTAATGAAACGAAATTCAAAAAATATAACGCAATAAAATTTCCTAGACCTTGCAAACTTCCAAACTTCCTACAAAAAATAAATGTACATAATTTATTTTCGTTGTTAATGATGTATCCCTTCTCTCGTGCAATATTATGAAGCTGTACATCGGAACACAAAGGGATTCAATAAAAATAATTTTCAATTACGGACTAAGTAGAGATCGTAGAGTACTTACTTATACTTACGGATTATAACTTCTGTTTTTCGCCTACTTAGAAAACTTATTTAGTTGGAAACAAAAACTGCGAATAAAGTTGAATTAGCCCGGTGCACACAAATTGCCTCCCAAAATTGGTTAGGTTATTTTTTGTCACTAGAATTGCCTCCGGATATTTCGGAGGCAATTCAAATGCCTTTATTTTACCATACTCGAATTACGTCCCCCGTAACAATCGATATAATTGACATTGATTTCGATATTTTGATATTGAAAATTGAGTGATAGTGAATATACTACAACAAAACTTGTTCTAAATTCTAAATTTTTTATCTAAAACAAGTAAGATGTGTGGTTATTTGCGGTTGTAATAATATTTTAGTAGCCTATACGAATACGACAATACGTATATAAACTTGAGTATAATAGAGATAAAAGTGCCACATTTTCGTACTTACTGCTCGCTAACATTGGTTTTACCAATTGCCATTAGACAATATTGGAGTATGATATAGCAATATAATGTTGCTTTTACTGGTTTTCAATTTAAAATTACAAATTGACACGAGATACTATATCTGCATTATCGCGTCAGTATACGTTTGTGAACTATCTTAATGAAGCCGCGGTATATTTTTTTCGATATAATTTAATAATTTAAAATAATAATATAATTAAATAATTTATTTTAATCAAAATGTCTATAATTTTAAGTGAAAAGGGAAAAACTGTTATAATGGTCGATGGTATTATTGTATAAATCGATGGTTTATATCGATTGTATTGATTTGATGAATGGAAAATTTTCAAATGGGAAGCAATTCAAGGGATTTATGGGAGGCAATTCAAGTTTCCCCAATTAGCCAGTTTTGTAAGCATAATTTTAAATAATAAATAATTTAATAAAATAATAATAATAATAATAATAATAATAATAATAAAATAATTTAAAAGTGAGTCAGTTTACAATCTTAATGGAGATTTGTATACGAATTGTTCAGTCACAAATTTAACTGGTTTAGAAGAGCTCAATAATAATCCTAGAATTTCAAAAAGTGCAACAGATGTTCAAGAAGTTGAAGAGGAATTGTCCGAGTATTTTATTTCTTCAAATGAAAATAATATATTTTCAATTTAAGTGCAGTGATCGTAATGGACGGATAATATATTTATTATTATGGATCCATTATTTAATTGGTTTTAGTGGTTATTTTGATTTTTATAAACCATTTTTATTTATTATGTAGGATCTCGTTATTTTAATAGTATATTTATATTAATAGCGTCCAGCTAATTTTAGTAGACTATAATACGTTTCCCTGACGGCAACAGCACGGGCAACAGCATAAATATTATTTATATTGTTGGTCACTACTGACCAACAATATAAATAATATTTATTCATTTTCCATAAAGAGCATATCTCATCATAACACTCGACGTAATAAATAATAATTCTAATTTTTAAAATACTTAATTACCTGTATGTCTGTCATTTCTTTTGGGCGATTTTTGTATTTCAGAAACTTCATACTCTGATAAGCAAACCATTTGCTCTTATACACTTTAGTTCCACTTCCAGATTTATGGTATTCGATACTGTCGTTTTCTTTTTTTATTTCTCGTGAAAGATGACGGATCAAATTATTTAATTTTCTTTCGATTTCTACTTTTTCCACTCCAAAATTTGTAGCAATTTCGATGAAAGCATCATGTTTTTTATTGCGATCCTTGTAATCTTTTAATTTACAATCCCATAGAAAGGGACGACTGCGATACAGTTTTATCAATGTTAGAACTTTTTCATTTGACCACTGCATAATATTTGATAAAAAACGAAAAGAAAAACAAAATAACATGCGTTCAATATAAGCGTTTAGTGTGTGCTGTGTTCATAGAAAGACAATGGCATTGCCAATTGGCACGTCCCCGCTTAAGCTGCATCCACACTATGTCGCTTAAAGTCAGTTGACATAGCCAAAAAGGTATAGGCGTGGCCATTGGCATATGCCAGCTGACAAATTCGTGCCAAACGGCATGCCAATAGATATCGCTCGAGTGTCAGACTACTTCAAAGAAAGCTAATGAGAATAAATAATATGTACGTGCAAATTGACTACACAATTGGCTCTTATTAAAATTTAATTGTCGTAGCGCGTTGGGTTGTTTGATTAGTTTCTGCCATTTAAAATAATATAAAAATAGAAATAAAAGAATGGACGTGATAATGAAAATTGCAGTTGATTTTGGAAAAAAGAGGTAGGGAAAAAATTTGGCGTGTTATTTATCACGCGAATTAAAAAAAAAAGAGATAGTAGACAGTCTGGCATAAGAACTGATCAAATACATAAAAGTAAATGGTTCTGCCACCACAGATTGTTTTTTCTCTAACACAAAAATTGAATGATATAATAATATAACATATAAAACAATAATGAAACTTAACGAATGGTACGAATCTCCCGTAGCTTAGAATCGTAACTGCCAGTCGTTCTTCGGCAGAAATACCTCTTCTAAATGGCGCTTCCTTCTTTATTTTTTGAGCAGTTGATTGTTAAAATTAATACTCTTCACTCGAAAAAAAAAATTAGAAATAACATCCAGGTCTGTATTAGAGATTCAATTCGTCTAAAACCTTCATTGTCACTTTAACCATATTTTTCTTTACTTCGAAGTTTTGGGCGTACCCAAAATCGTTTTCTCCGTTAGTAAATTTTTTCTTCGCCCTCGATAATAATGAAAGTACATGCAACATGGGCGTCCGCAGGAAATTTATCAGGGGGGGGGGGCGGATAATTAAATCAAACACCAAAAAGAATATTAAAAAATATATTTTTAGCAAACATTAAAATATGTCAGAACTATACACACTAGCCGTTATTAAATAAAAACTTAAGCCTTCGTAGTTGTTCAATTGCAAACCTTGTTATTAACTGTTCAATTAATTTTTTTCAGGGGAGGGCAAATGCTCCGTTTTGCCCCCCTTTCTGGACACTTATGTATGCAACGATTTGTATATCATCCTCGCAAAACATATCAAAATAACTTGAATAAAAACGAAAATTAATTAAGCAAACTTTTATATAATAACATTTAAACAGTGGCGAAGCGTCAAAGGAGACAATAAAACAATGTATACCCACTTTTAATACGGATACATAATTTGGTTTTATTATATTTTATTTATTTTTATATAACATACATAACTTCAATATTTATCATAGTTTTACTTTTGTGCCATACCGTATTAGTATTCTTAAAATAGATTAGTTGCGAGACCGTACACGCGAGCTGTCGTCCGTTGTGGCGTAGTAGTTTATTCTATAAACATCCAAATACAGATATAAAAATTAATATTATGAGACGACACGTTGTAGCGTCTCGTTTTTCAAGGCACGGTGTGCAAGGGGAATAGGATATTGAGTGGGAATTATCATTGCGCTATGAGACATGTTTCGCGTTCGTATTTATTATTTCATTTTAATATAATTATCGTAATCGTCATTGCTTTTCGTGTTGATGCGTTATCGTTCAATGCAATTTTGTTATCATAGTTATTGGTTGGTTTTTATTTTACGATTAATTTATTTCACGTGTGATATTCGTATCTAAATATTAAAATATTGTACTATTGTCATTCGCCACTATGCCTGATGATTTAATTAATGAAATGTTGAATGATGGAATAGTAAACTACTCATACGAAAAAAAATATGAAATAAAAAATAAAAGACCGTGTCCTATTTATCATAAATACATATAAAGTTATAAATGGTCGGGGGAATGTAACGTATTATTTTAATGTCTCCCTAACTTAAATACTCATGTTTCGCCACTGCATTTAAATGATTAAATGCCAACACCTATTTGGACAATGGCATTGCAAGTGATTTTGCCGTGCCAAATGACATTTAGCTGCGTAGTGTGGACTTCACGCATTTAGTTCAACATAAAAAATTTAACGAAGAACGCTTAAAAGAACAAGCAACTTTGAAACCTTTTCCAAAAAGTTACGTCAAATAGTTTTAAAGGAATATATAAATAAAAATCTCAATGTTTTCCCAAATTATAGTAATAGCATAGCAGTATAATTATCATAGTAACAACGAGGATTCCTGAAAATATCTTCTGAATAAACTTTAATTAATAACAAATCGGCAAAACGTAATCTAGGTCATGTGTATTATCATCATAGACGTAAGATCATTATGTAGATATACGTCTATGATTATGATTATTATTATTAATCTTGTCTATCAATGGTTTTGTCTTAGATTATTAACGAAAAAGAAAAAATACAAACGGAAATCAATGAACAGCCGTATCTTTTTAATACAATCAGAGTCAAACCACTGAACTCAATGAAACCTAACGAGATCATACAAAAGGTTTCGTTTTAACGTTCAACCGCGATTACGTCAGTCGTTTGAGAATTGAGGGTAACGAGAGAAAAGACTTACAGTTCAAACTTGGGCAATTGGCGAATTGTCCACCGCGAAGTACTTGATAGATAATATTGTTAAATCAATGAACGATCATTGTAAAGAGAAAACAATAAACATAATACTCATGATATTTTTACACTTCAAAATCAAATGTGTTTTTATTTTATTTAAAGTATCACCTTATATCATTAGGTATATATGTTGAAAATATAAAGAAAAAAAAAATGACAATAATTCAACATGAGTTATGATCATAAACTATTCAGTATTGACAATGTATTTTATGGCAAAACCAAAGAATATAGTATTTATAGGTACATTAAATACATTATGATTTTATTTTATGTTTTTTTAACCATATAAATAATATTAATGGTATGTAAATTAAATTACACATGTAATAAACTAATACACATACCTTTGCTATACCGGTTATCAAAATTAATACATTTTGTATGGTATTTGTTTTACTAAAATCAAATAAGGCAATGCCGACATGAATAACAAAACCCTATTATATATAATTTTGATTTATCACACAAAAAGGCGTATACATCACATATGTAGTATAAAATGAATTGTTTCACTACACAAAAGACTTAAGGGTCTTTAAAGAATAATTTTCATAAACATTAATGTATTCAAAAATATATTCGACAAATATTGTATGTACGCCGTATTAAATAAAATAGATTAAATATTTAAACATTAAACAGGTCAATAATAAACTAAACTCAATGTAACTAAAAATAATACTAAATGTAAAATTCAAACATTAAAAAACACTATAATTATCACATGACATAAAATATATTTCTTAAACACCTATGGTTTATTGGAAAAAATGTTATGGCGCATTTGTGGGGTGTATACTTTGTGACATTATATTTGTGAATAAAGTAAACATAATATAATTTAGAAGTATAGCATTTGCATTTTGACAAATTGAATGCATGCAAATGTGGAAATAAGTAAATACTATGATACATTTTAAGTATACTTATTTTATATATTTTTGTTGCATTGTTACAATTATTGATCAAGAAATGTAAAGTAACATAAATTTGAGATTTTTATAATTTCAGACTTTCTTATAAATGGTATTAAAATTAAGAACATGGGTTGCAAAAAATAATATTAAACACACAAAAATAAAAAAATTAATGATAATAGTTATAAAACATACAGTATTAAACACACATTACAACTTAGACAGCATGGAAATTGTTATTCAATCCAATAAGAATTTACATGGTAAGAAAAATAATAATTTATACACATTAATAAATTGAGAATGTATATAATATTGTAAGTTATAATATTACTACAAATTTTCAAAAAAAAAAAAAAAGGTTTTTTGCTTAGTATTTATATTTATAATCATCAAACTAAGTTGGATTGACCAAAAGCAGTTTGAATCAAATGAAATTAATAAAATAATTTTATACTAAATAAAAAGTAAAAAAAATGAGAATTTTTGCAACCCATTTAGGAACATTAATAACTATGAAAAAAAAAGTTGTGTTTTTGGCATATTTTCTCCTTAAAAACTACCGTTCAGTTTATTTTTATTACATGGACTAGAAAATTTAAGTCTTCAGAAGAATTATAGTGGTTTGTAAGGAAGTTGTATGGACATTAAGTTAAATAACTTTCTTTGCGTATTAAAAAATGCAATACAATAGAACAAATACTCATGAATAATTAATATAATGGGCTAAATAAAATCATATTAAATTGAGTAAAATTAAAATAAATATAAATAAGTATGGCACTTAGTGTTGTCTATGCTTTTGTCTCAAAAGGAATAGAGATTCATGAAAATCATCAGAGCTTAACTTGTTTCTATCGATATGTAATGTTGAGAATAACTCACCGTCAGTCATTGATTTTGGAAATGTAAAGACACACCTGTTTTTATCAGCCATGTTAGCTGAAGCACACATTCTTTCTTCGTTGAACAACGTTTGATAGGAATGTGCTTTATTTGTGTGAACAATGTTACATTCTTTGCATGAAGTTAGATTGTCTGCTGATGTTCCTTTGTAAAGTGGTTTCAACATATACTTTGGTACCGTTAAACTTGATGATCTTAATTGCCGACCTGATACTGGAGACTTTGTTTCTGGAGTTCGATTTATGGATACACCTGATATGAAGAGTGTTGGTGACTTAGGTATACCCGTGTCTGATTCAATATCTGCAGATATATCATTATCAGCACTATCTTCAGAATGACTACTGAATTTTTCAATTCTTATGTTCAGTTCAGGTTTGGAAGGTAGTTCAGCAGTAGACTTTAATTCATTCTCTAATGTTTCATCTGACATATCTAAGGCAGCAGTTTTTCCAATTTTACTTAAACGTTTAGGCAGTGTTATGCTGGAGGGTTTAGGCGAGTTTTGCCAGTAAAGTTGAGCCAAAATGTTACACAACTAGAGATAAATAAATATGATTACCAAGATTTCCAAAGGCTATTACCAATTTATCACTTACCTTTTTATCTGAACTTATAGGAGCAGCAATGTTGCTGTCATCCAAAGAAGTAACATTGCGGCATTCACCATTGTTGTTTATTTCCATAAGAATGGAAGTAGTTCTTCTGGGTAAGACTTGAAAGCCATATTTCAGTTTTCCACATTTTCTATCTACTATTTCTTGTCTGTCATCACTGTTCATATGATAAACATTAACGCAATATCTGAAGAAAGGCAACAAAATTAAGTTATACTCATTTAAAAACCTTATTTATGTTATGCAAACCTTCGATTATTTTTGTATAAGTCCCTGCGTGAAAGAAGATCACCAAATGATAATGAGCGCCTAAGATTTTTACCATCCATACGACTGTATATATCTTCACTAAAATCCAAGTAATAACTGTTTTTGTGTAAATCGCCAACTTTGAAAACACCATCATCAAGTTGTATACCACTACACCTTAAATTTGAGATAAATCAAAAAAAAAAAAAATAAATAAATAAATAAATATAAGTTATATTCATTCTTTTAACTTAACAAAAATGTAGTATGTTACTTAGGTAAAAAAACAGGAATGTCTGTTTTTATATGAGTATTTTCTTGAACATTGCTTATAGGTACAACTGTTTCCAAATCATCTTTAGATGTTGATAAGTTTTTGGATTTAGCCATAGATATTTCATCTAAAGACATTTGTAAAGCCATTTGTAATTGTTGGTCATCATCATTTGAATCTTCGATTAATTCTTAAAAAAAATGTATGTATGTTAATTTTACATAAATACAGTTTATGTAGTGTACATTGTATTTTTACCTGAGTAATTTTTGCTACAACTAGCTTCTTCATTCTCTGATCTACGAACAAAATATATCAAGGTAAAAAGTAATTCAAAATTTATATTTTATTGCCAGTTATTATGTATAATAAAATCGAGATGATACCTTTTTTTTTGTTGGGCATCTTTTATCATTTGAAGTCTTGACATTTCAAGAGCAACAATAAGATCCATTGCAAAAGTACCAACAATACTAGTGCGTTTTTCTTTTTTTCCTATAGTGAGTAATTCAATTCTTATTTATTGAAATTCCATATCAGTAAATATATATATATAGTATACATTCGATCTTCTAATAAATTTTTGTGAGTATTTTTGCATCTTAAGCTACAATATTCATGAAATTTTGATGTTCGGGGGTTCCGCACTCTTGCTCTTTTACAGTGTTCCATTTTACATTGGCCAAATACACTAACAGCAAGAGCTCTATCCAGTTCAGTTTCCTAATATTTTAATAATTTAAAAAAATTTCATTTTATAATTATAATCTAGTTTTTTTATCATTTATTTTTTATTCTAACCTCTTCTTCATCAGAACAACTCTCAGGCCAATCTAAAATAGCAGTAAGATTACGATGTCGGCCTTTAGAGTCAACAATCCATGGGTTATCCGGATCAATTTGAATTGAATCTCCAATGGCTTTCTTTAACAAGTCCTAAACATTTGTTTAAAACATATTTATTTCTATTACTATATATTAAAAGATATGTACTCACTTTAGCAGTAGCATTCATATGTTTTTGAGACATACTACTAGATTTTGTTTTTGTGACATTTTGTGGGGCAGATTGCATACTTTCTAAAGATATAGATCCATCTGATATGGCATTAATGAATTCATGGCGTTTTCGTCTTAATATACTAGTGGTATTAATAATGGCACTTCTTGGATTACATAAATACTGTCGTAAAACCATTCCTGCTAACTTTTCAGTAACTTCTTCTACCTCATTCTAGAATATAGGTTTTAATAAAAATAAGTCATTAAAAAATTAAAGAGTTAAAATTATTATAAACAAATTAAATTGTTAAATATCAATATAATATGTCAAGAGAAATTGACAAAGTATTTAATAAACTTTTCATTTTTAAATGGTTAGCTAAAATAGCTGTGCAATTTTTATACATATTAAACTACATAATACGGTAATCAACAATAAGGTCAAAATGAATGTTGCTTTAAGTAGTCCTCAACTATTACTTTTAAATGGAATAGAGTCTGTCAAAATAAACAGGTTTGTTATTAAGTTATAAAATAAATCATATACAATTCTCAGTTTCATTGTTCTTGCAGAAACTTATATTTAAATAAAATTATATAATTTTTTGAAAAAACATAAATAGTATTAATTAGTAGATAAATAAATATTGGATTAGAGAAACAAATATTATTTTGTTCATGGATAAATTATACACGTATTTTCATATCACCTGCATAAACTCCAAAATATTTCTATTATATGTGCTACTCTGCATAAAAAATCCATACACATATGATGCACATAGAACTCTCTTAGCTTTTTGTACTTCAACAACTGCATCTTCAACAAATTTTGTTCGCTCATCATCTATAAATATCAAAAATTAGATACATAAAACATATACAATAATTATCATGCAATCTTTATTACAAAAAAAAATAATTAAAAATTTACCTTCAGGTATATTTAAAGCAGCTGATAAAGCTATTCTCCACTTTTTAACTATTTCGACAAATAGCTCTTCCATTGGGCGAGTAACTTCATGCTTTTTGAATTTAGTATAAAAATGAAGAAATTTACTTAATTCCAAACTTTGTTTATTTTTTTGCTGAGCCTATGAAAAATTATATACATACAAGAATTAAATATTTATGAAATATTATTATATAATGGGTTATAACACCCCTTTCCCTCTTAAATGTTTCTCTTAATTTATAAAACATATAATCATTTTCACATAGAAATAATGTTATAAACAATTTTATAGAAAATGTAACCACCTCCCTATCAAGAAAAATGATCTGACTACACCAGTGATTGTATATATTTATAATGGTAATTTTGTACATTTATAAAAGTATAATAATTATAAAAATATAAGAATAATAAAATTAAAAATATAGTAGAAAAACCAAATTTCTTATTAATATTGCTTGAACTTTCAATTTTCTGACTTAAAAAAAAAAAAAAATTACATTTTAAAATCGAGAAAAATCCAAAATTTTAAGAAACTATAAACAAGGTTAATTGTGAATTATAATAATGGGAAACTGTGAAATTTCCTTAGTTAAATAACTAATATCATTGATTATAGAATAATTTATTCTACCTGTATATTTAATGCTAATATTGTATAAAGTAAATTGATTAAAATATCTGATTTCATATAAATTTTAAACTGTAACAGCAATAAATCATTTTAATTTTATTTCTAAACAGTAAATATTATGAAAAATCTTGTATTCAATTCTCAAGACTTAAATATAAAATTAAGAGTTTTGTGAATTTTGAACTACAAAATTACAGTGAAATTTCATGATTTTAATTTTATCAATTTTTGTTTTTTTATAAGTATTAATATATATTAATTTTTTTTAAATTTTCAAGATTTTTTCAAACTAAAACTATTTTATTAACATTAAAAAAAAAAAAAAAAACTAAAAAAACCATGAAAATTTAAATTTCCTTTATATAACATTTTTTTTGTTGAAAATGATACCATCTAAAGAAAACAATGATATATTAATTCAGTGAAAATTTCAAGTCTTTATAATTATTATTTTTAAGCTATGATGAAAATAAAAATTCTATAATTTAATTTTGTTAACAACTGGTTTCAGCCTTTTTTTTTTATAATTTTACATTAGCTTATACTATTAATTTACTAAACTTGTGGAAAATTTGTAAAGTTACTTTTCTCATAGTACCAATAACATTTCTTAACAGAAATTTTAAACAATTGTGATGATTGAAAAAATAATTTTAGTTAAAATTGTATGCAAAAAAAAAACCCCCCATTTAATTATAAAACCATTAGATTCCTTCTTTCGTTCAAAATCTAATAATTACGTACTTCTTTCATAAGAAGACCTCTTTTTTCATCAGCTTTACAAACAGCAGTCATACGATTACAACGAAAAAATCCGCCAGTAGCTGAGCCATGTTTTTTCCAGCTTTCTTGACATATCCAGCAAAACTCAAATTTACACTTGTACAAAAATAATATATAAATTATTAAGATTTATAACAGTTAAAATTAATGCATTATATTATAACACATTTTATTATTAATTATGTGTGTTTACATTTAATAATATTATAATGAAATCAACTATTTAATTAACAAATTGTAATTATAAATGATTAATTTTCTTAAAAAGTTAAATATACATATATATTACTTTTGAACACTTCATATGATTACAGCCTTCATTCTTCTGTATGGGTGAATTACAATTTGGGCACGGTTTTGAATTTGTCACCAACCATAAGCTATTAGCTGCTTCTTCAAACTCTGCACTAGTTTCACGTATTTTATCTGGTTTAACTTCAGATATTTTAGACATCCACTGAGACCATTGTTGACAGCTACATGGAGTATGAGCATCACCCATACATTCCCTATTACAAAGGACAACAAAGGACAAATTATAAATGAATATTTAAAAATAAGAATAAATATGGTAACATACCAACAAAAATAATGTCCTCTACCACAATCAACTGAACGTGCAATTTTAGAGTTTTGTTTTGGTTTTCTAGTACTCGGGAGGCGAACAGCAAGTCCACAATTTGGAACAGGACACCATTTTATAGAACGATTACTTTCAACAAAAGCCTAAATAGTTTAAGATAAACATTAAATATTATAGTTATAATTTCTTAGAAGAAAAAAGGATTCTACGTACTTCAATATTAAGATCAAAATATCTACGAGCCATTTCAGGACTAACAATGTTTTCAATGAGTTCAGTTGGAACTAAAATATGGCAGTGTAAAGCTGGACAATAAATATTGCTAGAGTCTTTTCTTTTAATTTTACATGTTAAATATTCTTTCCAACATGAATTACAAAACTTATGTTCACAACACAATTTAATTGTAGAATCAGATAATGGCAGTTCATTCAAGCAAATATCACACTGAAATAATAATATATTACTAAAATTAGTATATAAATTAATATATAACATTTATATTATAACTATTTAAATGTGTTATTATTAGTAACAATAACTATAAATTCCATTTTTTTTAGAAAAAATGTTTATTTAATTACTTACAATAGTTTGATCATTAATGTTAAGTTGAGCTTCTTCATTTAAATGTGTCTGCTGTAACCCATCGAAATAAAATTTCTTGGTGGACTGCACAGATATGGGTACTTGTACACCAGCAATTTGACAACACTTGTCAGGATCACGAACCCATCGTTCAAGTAAAATCTCTCTAGACCATTCTAAAATATTAAATACATTTTTAATAATAACTAATTCATACTTTTCAACATTAAACATCAATAATTTTACCATTATTTCTAAGCAATGCTTCGGCAGTAAATAATGGCAAATTTAACATATCAGCAGTTTCTACCAATAATTGGTCTTTGGCTTCTTGTAAATCTTGTGTGCGTAACCCAGCATAAGTTTCCTCTTCACCAAAATCATAATCATCGACAACAGTTAAAATATCTTTAAGGTCTTCCCCCTAGTAAAAATTATTTAAATTAAAATAATATTATTTATATTTTATACAAGGCTATTCATTTTTACTTACAAAAACCATTCGGGATTCTAATTTACGAGCTAAAGTTTCATATCCATTTTTCACAGCCAAATCACAAGCAGTCTGTTTTTGGTTATTAGTCTTGAATATTGGGGCTCCTCCGTGTGAAAGCATCAAATCAACACAGTACTGCAAACCAGAAGCTGCTGCTAGATGAAGTGCAGTGTTTCCATCCTATTAGTGTATTGATCAAAATTAAAATACCTATTTTAAAAATTACATTTATTTGTGTTAAATTTACATTATTTTGAGCACTCAGTCGTATTTTCTCTCTCCTTCCATCTGACAGTTCTACTCCTTGCCAATTTAACAATAATGTAACACAGGCAGCACGACGTTCATGTGCAGAGTAAGAGCTTTGAGGGGAAAGGGAACAAACTGCATGCAGTGCTGTTTCATTGAAATTATTTTTTTTATTTGGATTTCCATTATGTTCATTTAAAAAAGCCCTATTATATGTATGCAAACATTTAGTATAAAATTAACAATATTTAAATATTTATAATAACCATGTTACCTAAGTAAGTGCTTCATCCCATGTTTTGCAGCATAATGTAAAAGTGTATTGTGGTTATGATTTTCTCCACAGCTCAAATTAGGGTCTAGTGTTTTAAGTTCAGGAGAGTTTGAATACATCTATAAAATTTAAAAAATAATAACAAATGTTTTTCTTTTTCCATTTATAAATATTTACCCGCATAGCAGCATATTCATCCCCTCTCTGAAGGTGTTTTTTAAATTTGGTAGACGTACCACCCATTTTGTTTTTGTTATAGAATATATCATATCTATCTGTTTTCAAGTAATCATAGTGTTTTTTTCTAAAATACTAATTTTGTTATGGCACTCATTTTTTTTATTTCAATAGCAATACTAAAATAAAGAATATATTATTAAAAAATGTTTGTAATTACATTATATAAAATACATTATTAACAATGTTATTTTAAATTTTTAATTAAAATACAAAGAAACCAATTTTAAAATTATTTACTTAATTATTACACAGTTAGGATAACCTTCTTGATAATTTTAAGTTCACATGTGTATATGTACATAATAAAAGTTAATATTTGTAATTATAATTATTTATATCACAAAAAAAAAATTAAAATACAGTAATTTATTAAAATGAATTATTTTTATGTTGACAACTTCAACAAAGAAACTCTTTCAAAATGAAAAATGAATATACATTAAAAATATGGTATACAGTGTTAAAGGCAATCATCAATGATTAAAACGCAATTAATTTTATTACTTATATGTAATAACGAAAAAAATAGTATTGGTACTATTTAGTACTCAGTAGTGAAGTAAATATTATCTTGTTTATACAAACCATGCAACACTTAAAATATTATCAATATAATTAAACATTATAATTATCACATAAATATAAATAAATAAATAAATAAATATATATATCAGAAGTAAATAATACACAAGAAATATCATTGTAAACAGGTATTAAACTAATTTTTTAAGTTACATCATAACTAAATAATAAATAAATAAATAATATTGGTTAAGTTATTTAGATAAAATTATTGATTTCAGTTCAGGGAAATCTAAAATACTGTTAAATAATGAATTTCTATTTTTTTATTTTTTTTTAATTTAAATTAATATTTTGTTTAAATATATATGATTAAATTAATTTGAATATAAGAGATAGTTTGAAAAGGTTTTTTTATAACTAAGGTTATAAATTTAATATGTTTTGATATTTTTTCTAGAAATATTTGCAGTGATATAATTTGGTTATAGTTTGCAAGCAATTTAATGAAAAGGATGTACTTGAAAACTTTAATATTTAAATAAATCTCAACAATTGAACTTTTATACTAGTTATATTAAACTATTTTCGGTATTAAAAATGATGAAATATTATTTCTATCATACATAATAATATTGATACAAACATGGATAGTATTGATATAATATAGTCAGAACAATAGTATCTGACTACTAATTAATTAGTATTTTTACCATATAATTGAAATAAATATATGTAAATAACAACATTTTTCTATATTATACTACAGTCAAATCATTCAATTTTAACTTAATAAAATAAAAAGGCACAGTAAATTATTATTATCCATCAATAATCATAAAACTTATATAAGGTAGGTACCTAATATTAAATATGTCATGAAATAATCCAACAAATCATATGAACATTTAGCATGAATAATTGTTTATACATAAATATATTAACATAAAAACATTAAATAATTGAAGCGTATCAAAGGAAAGTAAAATAAAAAATAATGTTTGACATTGTGATTTCTATTACCTATAAAATATCAGTTAGATTTAGTAGGTTAGTTATCAATACAACATAGGTCAATATATGGCGTACGTGGATTTCATGGTTTAATGAACATAGTAAGGTATAATAAACAATTTCCCTTTTAGGCTTATAAGTACTGACTACATTTTAACAATATACTCTAGTAAGCAAGTACTTGGCATATAGACAGCAGATATAATGGATATTGAAAAAGTAATTTTTTTTTTATATATTAACTATTATATTAAAATATACTTGTTTCAGTATTTAATAAAACAGACTTGGATAAATTTAGAATTATCATAAATTATTTTTCATACCATTGATAGTAAGACTAAAAAATAATACCAATAAATAATTATTGATTTTTTTAATTAAATGTTTACATATAACAATATTAAAAAACAAATTTAGAATTCAGAATAAGCAATAAGAAAATATTAATTATTCTATAATATTTTATTTCAGGTTTTGTTATTCGTTATTTTAATTGTATCAATAGCAACAAGTTCAGGGGATGATTATATACAAACTCAAAGCAATGAAGATGTACAGGATGAACCAATTTATAGCAATCATAAATATATTGATGATGATTCAACTGGTTCCATACAAAAATGTAATATATATTTACTATCTATAATAATAAACATATAACAATAACATAAAATTATTAAGAATTTAAATATTTATAGTAAATTATTCTAAATTTGTTTTATATTAATTTTATCATTTTTATTATTTTAAATTCAAAATACAAAATACTGAGTTAGTTTCTGTAATACTTGGACCATGTTATTTTTAAAATTAAGTTGAATATCTAATATATGTAATTATACAATAATTATTATAATATACTATGTATAATTTATAATATATTGCAGTATTAACTAGTATATAATATGTACATACTAGACTTTCCCTATTATTAGGTTTTTAATTACTTTATATTGATTAAAATAATGAATGTGGCTTTAAAGGTTACTTTTATGAATGTATTATATTATGTTATTAGACCAACCAGGGAGAGTTCAAATAAAAGTCTATAGAGGACCAGACGTAATTGAAAACGATGAATCATATGCAGCTCATGGATTCTGGGTCAAGCAACCATCTGAGGACTATTAATGTTAATTTATAATTTTGTATAGATTTGAATTGTATTATATTATTATTTGTCACATTTTCTTACTACTCTATTTACTCACACTGATGCATACAACTATCAAAATAGTAATAAATTATTTAAATAAAAAAAAAAAAAAGGCTTAATGTGTAAACAGCTATACTGCTACCTATCATAAATATATATATCATCAATATGAACATTATAGCACATTGGTAACAAAATATATTTGATTGGTGTACTTACATTAAACTAGAGATGAAGATTTGATTATTTTATTAAGGACTAAGTAGGTATAATAATATATTTAAAATTCTTATGCACATTTTCACACAGTTTAAGCAAAAGTGAAATGCCAGTAATGGGTCGTCTACTTCATCCCTCTTATTTTTCGACCACTGATAAGTGACGAAAGAGTTGTTTGAATATTAATCTCAACATTCCGCGTACGATTGTACGAACGACGAAATCGAAAAACAAAAAACTACAACCCAATACATCATTTTATCAAAACAATAACACGAGATTGCGCCCTCTCGAAAATCTACCTGGAAAAATAAACATTTCATTGTTGATAGTAAATTAAAATAACAATAACAACATAGAATAATATTCTGTGATAATAATAACAGCAACAACATGATAAGCGGTCCGGATGCTGCAGCACCTATGCCGTGATAGTGAATTGTTTATTGTGTATCAATTTTTTTTTTTTTTAATACTCTCTCATACCTATGTACCTATTCCGTTACTTAGTTTACCCCGCATACTTCAGGTATTTTGAGTCTGAAATACACTATGGCGTTGTGCGTAGCTGTTGTTAGCAAAGAGGTAAGCTAGTATATATGAGTTTCTATATTTTAAGATGTCACACGTTTTACTTTAACCACACGGTCTGTCGAGATAAGCAATTCATATTGGTAAATAATTTGCTAAACTACGGTGAGGTCATATTAAATTTTTGAATAGTTTATCGATTATGTTGTCATTTATATTAAATACTCTCTACAATTTGATAATTGAGCTGAACATCTGCAAAATAATCATCTGGAATTTGGAAATATTTTTTTTGCTAGTTAATTATTAGAATGTAACTATGACTTAATACATATAATTTATAAATTTTAGAATGCGCCTAAATATGTAGCTTCATTAAATCCAGCAGATGAACTACAAATCCAATATGAAATACATTCATCAATTGATTTTGTCGAAGAAAAACTAAAAACTGGTAAAAAAGATATGCGGGAACTGTACTTAGGACAATTGTACTCTACAGAAGATCATAAAGTGTATCCTTTTTTTATTTTAATTATACTATTTATTTATTTTACTCAATACGTTCATTTTACTAATATAACTTTCTATCTACTATATTTTACTGTAGTTCCTTCTTAATAGTTTATGAAGTTTAAGAATAAAATATTGTATGTAGTATTATAATAAATAAATATATATAAAAATATTTTCTTTAATCATCAAAATTTAGATATGGATATGTAACAAATACTAAAGTAAAATTCTTTGTTGTAATAGATTCTAGCAACTTATTATTGAGAGATAATGAAATACGTTTTGTAAGTATATTAACATTTTTTAACTATTTCTAATATTGAGTCATACCTTATTTTATGTTTAAAAATTATGTATGTTTTTTTTCTAATATAAATTATGATTTATAGATGTTTCGAAAATTACATACAGCTTATACAGAATTAATGTGCAATCCATTTTACATTCCTGGTGATTATATAACATCTGAGTAAGTAATTTAAAAAATCACATAAAAACAATATATATATATATGTATTTTTTATTCGTTTAACTAATTTTAAAATCTAATATTGATTTTCTATTTTTCAGGAATTTTGACAAAGTTGCTAGAGGTATTCTCACTGGAAACTCATAACTTTTTTATTTATTTTCAATTATTATTTTATTATTATTTTTATTTTTAATTTATATTTTGTTTTTTAAAGATAATTAATTATTATAAATAAATTACTTATATTATTTTATATTATTTAATTGTAAAAGAATATTTCAATATTTTCATTTTCAACTAGTTTTTAAGTAATCATAGTTAAATATATAATATATAGTAATAAAAAAAAAACAATTTATTTCATTAAATATTAAATTTATTTTTTATTACATATATATTTAATAGGTTATGGTCTCTAAAATAAAATATGTAGATATTTTTTCTTTTTAAAAGAAAAACCAAACAACACATGATATATACTCAATGTCATTAAAATGGGATCAAAAAATACATAAAATAGAATCTATGATAGAATCATTACTATATGTCAAGAATGTATGTACAATGTGCTCAATAAACCTATCTACATATACTGACAATACTCAACATCTACAATCTTTAATTCTTATGGTATTTTAAAATTAAATGATGCAGTCTAAGGTTTTGAAAAATTTCAAATAAGTAATCAGTACAATATAAATAAAATATGTAGCCAAACAAACTTTCCACAGCAATTTCATTGTGAATATCCTAGCAAGTGGCAATGTTTTTGAAAACAAAAAAATGATAAATAGAATTCAATGGAATCTAAATGAATTCTGTATATATATATTTATTATTAAGTTATCTTATGTACAATCTTAAACTAATGATCCTAGGTTTCAAAATCATATCCCTAATGAAAATAAATACAAATATAAATCTAATACTAATGTGGAAACAAAAGTAAACAAAGCAAAAAAAGAAAATAATAATAAATATACACAAAATGGTTTAATATTAATTTAAATGTTTGTTAGTTTAATGTCAAACTAACTTAGTGTTAACAGGTTGAATTGCAATAATAAAATTAATTAAAACATAATTGATTGTTCTTTATGTGACAATCAGTTTCTGTTGCATTTTAAATTCCATCTTAAGAGACATTTTCAACGTAAAAATTAAAGTCTAAAGTTTTTTATTTTTTCAAATGAAAGATTAATTGGTTTATGTTATACTAATATCAATAATGATATAAAGTTTGCATTTGTATTAATATATTTCACAGATTTTTGGGGTATTAAGTATTCTTGTAGCTATAATTTTTGTGCTAGATATGTCTGTGGTAACATGTAAATTGTATTGTGAAATATTTTCTATTTCAAAAAATTGTACATTATGTACATTATTTATAATTTAATTATATTCTATTCATAACTATTGAGTTAATCATTAATTTCTTGGTAATAATTAAAAAAATTAATTTTCTTAATAATATTAATTTTGTAGTTCTATATTAGTATCATTGATTATAGAATAGAATAAATTATAGAATATCTATTCTATAATCAATGATAGTATTACTCTCGCAGAATATCGAAATTAATGAATAAAAAAACTGTCTTCATATTAATAATATATATAATAACAATATATTATTTATAAATATTTTTTTTTGCTATAATTTTAAATATTTTTTCCACGGTTTCTTATAATCTGAAGCAAGACTGTATCTGTGGGGAGGTTCAAGGGGTCCAGACCCTCCTCAAAATGTCTTCAGTATTTTACAAATTTTTGAAATTACTAATTATTTTTTAATACCAACATAAATATTTTTAGCTATAATTGGCTTAAATTTCAATTAAATTAAATGCTTTGTCAAATATTCATCATATTCGTAATTATATAGGAATAATAAAATCTGTGGGAGATTTTAGAAACAGATTTTAATTTATAGGTATTCAAATTTTATATATGATTCATTAATTTCAGAAATAAAATTGTGGATAATAAAATGGATTGCATTTCAGACATAGATCGTCCAAAGGCAGCTGTAATAACCATTAAATTATTGTAATCCTGAACTTTTTCCAAATATTTATTTTTTATTAAAAGCAATAACCACACTGCTGGTTTCTACAGTAACTCCCAAACGAAGTTTTTTCACATTCAAACGCATCAAGACATTTTTACGAAACTCTACAAGACAAGAAAGACTAACTGGCCTCTATTAGTACCCATACAAATGTTACGGTTAATCCCGAAGAAGTATTAAACCAGTTTGTTCTTCAAAGAGAAGCATTTTATTAGTTTAAAATAAGTATATTGAATTTGTGTATGTTATTTTGTTTATTTAATTATATATTTGATTTAAAAAAATATTAAAACTTATTTAGTCTTATTTTTAACCAAATTAAAAAACGTAAATTCATTAAAATTACAATAAACATATTTTGGACCTCCTATATATATATATGAGAATTTGAAAAAAATGTGTCCAATATCAGTGGTAACGTTTGATTACAGCTGTGGTTGGTAATAATGTCCATAGTAATTATGGCAACTATCACATTCGTTATCATAAAAACAATTTTTTTGAAATATTTTAATTTGAAAACTCTGTTAGTCATAACTTAATAACTCATTATTTAATAATGTACTGAATATTTGCCTCTTGATAGGGATCACATGTTTTGAGATCTGATTTATTTTGGAAATTAATCATCGCCTGTGATGTACCAAGAACATCAGAATAAAAGTTTATCAGAGTTAAAGGAACAAAATGAACCAAGATCATTCTACTGCAAAATGTTTAGTTTACAAAGATGACATGAGATCTGCCTCAGACTTGGATGAACCGGATAAGCTCCCCAGAGATTTGAGCATCTCCTATTGGGATTTATTAGCATTAAATTTAGCTATCGGAAGTCATGTTATCGATGTCTGCATAGATTTTAATGTTGCTTATCAGTATTACAAATATGAAAAAATTAAATATTTTGTATTGACAATAATTTTCATGACAGTTCCTTCCATCATAAATACGTATATGAGTTTGAAAATGTTAGTGTATGATAAAAGTATAAAAATGTATGATGTAATTACACCTTTATATGTTTTAGTTATTCTGTTCAAGAAGACATACAAAGAGTTACTATAAAATTGCTTAAATGTCGACCATTATTGCCATTCTTGTTGATATTTCAAATGGCACCAGTTCTGAGGTATATTTTTCATTATAATTATAACCACCATAACAATTTTTATTGTTGTATAATTTATTATTATTTATTTATTATTATTTTTTTAACAAATTATATAGGATGCTGTTTATATTTTATATTATTTAGAACCGTGGTTCTCAACCGGTGTGTCGCGACATACTAATGTGTCACATATTACTTTGGAGTGTGTCGCCAAAATATTATTAATTAAAATTATAAGCTTTCAAAGTATGAACGTATATTATTACGGAATTATGATGAAATAATAAAAGCCACATATAAAAAAAAATTATAATGATATTCTTATTAATTCTTATTTTTTAGAAATATCATAAAATATAACATTAAAATCTAAATTTTGTATGTCTCAAAATGATTCATTTCGAATTTCTCTGTAAATTCAATAAACAGGAATAATAAGAATTGAAAATTTCGTTTTCTTTTCAACATCGTACATGACTAAATCAGCATATTCGATATTGGAAATAACAAAAAGCAAAAATGATATTGACTGTAAATTACGCGAAAGTTTGTTAACCATTTGCCCATAAATCGAAGACCTATGCAGGTCTGCATATTTATGAACTAATACGGTTTTACATATAACTTTTTTTAAACTTTTTAATTTCAATCAAGAAATTAAGACTTTTTTTAAGTTTTAAATTTTTAAATAAAATTTCCAATAATAATAAAATCCATTAATTGTTTCAAGTGTGTCGCCATTTTTATAGATCTAAATTAGGGTGTCACCATACAAAAAAGATTGAGAACCACTGATTTAGAACATTATAGTAAATAATTAATTTTTATCATGTATTGATTTTCATTTATACTATTAGTAATATTATTCACTATATACTATAGTAATAGCATGTAATTTAGTGAATTGTACCTATAGGTATTATGATGTATTAAAATATGCACTAAAATCACGCGAAGCTGCTTTTAAAAAAAATTATGATGATCAAAAGAAGTACTATTCATTAATGGCTAAAGAAGATTCATATGTGTCATTGTTGCGAATCTTTGAATGCTTCTTAGAAGCTGTTCCTCAAGAAATATTACAAATATGTATTGTTTTAGTTGAGAAAAAACAGGGTTCTACTTTTCAAAGTAATGTTACTTATTTGATATACATTTTTGAGTATTGTTCTTAAAATTTTCATATATATATTTTCAACATAAAAATTATTTAAGCTTTTCCAGTAAAATATAGAAATTAGAATAAAGTAATAACATCAAATATTCTCTAAAAAATATTATTCTGATTTTTGAGAATAATAAAATAATATAATTACTTTATTTAATTTTTCTCTATTAACTTTAACTATAACGGCCATTAGTTATTTGTATATTTTTGATTATACAGTATAATTTGCTTGACTCTATTAATTTTATGTTATTTATGTACATATAATTAAATTATGATTATATTCACACTTAGTCTAAATACTTAAAATTGTTTACAAATATTTAATACATATATAACAAATAATAATAAGTTTTTTTTTATCTTAGTTGTTCATCAATCTGCATCTATTGCAAGTTCAACCATTGGCATTGCATGGGCAATGGCTTCATATCACAAAAATGTAAGAATTGCTTATGAAAACAAGAAAAACATAGGCAATACAGGAACAGTATTACAATTTCTATGGCACATCATGATAACAAGTATGTTGGATATTTGTTCATAATATAGTAATTTTAACTAATGTTTTATTGGTAAAAAAAATAATTTCATTGGATCTAACAACATCATTGGATATTATTATAATTTGCTTCTACAGAAATATAATTAAAATCCATTGACTTAATGTGGATTTATTTTTTTTAGTATCCAGAATATTATCTATAAGTTTGGCTGCTACTGTCAGGCCATGGATAACTGGTATATTTTGTTTGGTCCACTGGCTCTTTATGACTTTTTGGATTTTCAAGTATCAAAATGTAACATTTTGTATACCATCAAGCTATTCCGAAGAAAATAGAATTATGAGATTTTTTTTTTCGACTATTCTTGGTCTAGTATATATATTCACTTATTTATCCCCCAGTGAAGGTCAAGGGAATTCCAAAAACCGTTACCTAAGTTACTACAGTTTGTTTTTCGTGGAAAATATTTCTGCAGTTGCTATTTGGGCTACCATGGGTACTGATCAAAATCAGTGGTATTATTATCCTTTGGTGATAGGATCAATTATACCTTTTTTTATTGGAATTATGTTTTTAATAATATATTACAAATTCTTTCATCCCCACATCACACATAAAGAAGATACTGCAGAATCATATAGAACAACCAATAATATTAACACATATATTGAAGACATAGTAGAATAATATATTTGTTGAAAATTATTTATTTATTATCAAGTAATTAATATTATAAATGAAATGTATTAAAATATTTGTATTTTTTTTTTTTATTAAATTGTTGAAGTATTAAGTGTATATAAATTATTTTTTACCAACATTGTAACAAAAATAAAACTTTATAACACAAAATGATACTAACTCATATAATTGACTATATAAGAAATCTAAATATGCTAAATAAGGCTAAGTCACGTCACTTCTTGGAAAAAGGGTATTTTTGTATGATATTTATTAGTTTTGCTCTGTTCCAAAATGCTTATACTATAATTCTACATTGGTGGTTTTACTCCACTTGGACTTTGAATTACTATCATCGTGTATAATTTATCTGTAAAAGATAATTTATGAGTTTACTTTTATTCTTATTATTTTTTATTTATTCCTTGTACTATAAGAAAACATATAGCAGATTTGTTGTTGCACAATAGGCATATCAAATAAGCGTGCAAGTTGTGTTTTCTCAAGGCACAGATTATAGGCACATAGTTTTAAATGTTAAGTGATACCTATAGAAAAATATATATTATATAGTATACCTAATATATTTTTTCATTATATATTATAGAAAATGTATTTAACTAATTAAATTGTTAACAAATTATTGTTATTTTTTTTTATTATATATACAAATATTTTCTAAGACTGCAGTAGTATTATTAAAAATCTATTTTCATATTTTATGTAAAATATATTTACCCAATATAATAATTATCTCGTTTTTTTTCGTATGTAAACGCATGGACATCAATACATCTGAAGCGTCAAATTTTTTGAACATGTGCTTCGATATCCCTATTATCATTTGTACCAGACTGGAATACTGGACAGTCGCCGAGTTCCCAATAGTGGATTTAATTGGGACTCCTAAAATTAAAATTAACAGCTATTAATATGCATACAATTTCTGGTGAAATGATCAACAAACCATCAATGTCCAGTATTATGAAGCCTTCAACTCTATCGCTGGATTGGATTTTTTTGAATGCTTCATCGACTTGAGTGGTCATTTCGACTTGGTACCAATTACGTTCTAACCAAAACGTGTTCACAAAAAGATTCAACGGTACTGCGAAAATTTGAATTCAGATAAAACTAAAAAAGAAAACTGAATAATAGGGTTTGCGGATGTGAAATTCTGGTGCAATAGTCTATAAATATATTAGCGAACATTCAATATTATATATTATCGACGGCTTATATATTATCGACGGCACAGTTAGTAATCACCAAACTGTATATTTATACATTATGAATACATATTTATGTTGGAAAATGAGTAATACGTTTTTATGGGTAAACCCAAACAATAGATATACACACACGAGTACCAAATAGAATTTATAAATAAAATTTAATTATCAATTGTTGAATATTATTATATTGCTGATTATTACTTCCAGTCGTACCTTTTTTAATTAATTTATAAATAATGTACAATAATATTTAAAAACAATAAAATAATGATAGGTGTACATCAATATGTTTACATTTTAACGTTTAACCGTTGATTTTATAATATATTATTATGTAATCTATAGTTTAATTCTGTGGGTGAAATACAGATGTTTAATGAGATACTGAGATTTACCCGCCATTTTTCAGCGGTCTCGAGTGACAATAAGATAATTTTTGTTTATATACCCATTGTGTGTTGTTGAATTTCGTTGTTGGATTGCAGCTAGAAGATGAAATAATAAGCGTTCTGTCCAAACAACATTTTGTCTGGTAACCTATTGATCATTTGCAATTATACACGTATTATTGCCGGTCTGAAGTATGCCCAGGAATGTAGAGATTAAGGCTCGCATCAACGATTTGAAGGCCGCAAAACAACGAATTTCGAACCTGAAGTCGAATACATCTGAAGACATCGATGTAATTATTAATCAAGAAGATACGTTTTACAATCTGCCGGCCGGCAACAAAGGAAAATTAAAGTTCAGAAAAATCCAGGTAAAATTAAAACTTAATGCGTAAAACAGTGTACCATCTACTTAAGTATTAGTTAATATTTTTATTTATTTTTTTTATTACGGAAAATGAATGTTGATACTTACACCGAACACATGAAGTTTTGTTGAATGTGAGCAAATATTGAGTTATTTAGTATTTTAGTAAAACATGTACAGTATATAAATTATTATCTAAATCATATTTTGGTTTTTATTAATTTTATTTTTTTAAGTTTGATACCAATTATTCTAACACATAGATATTTGTGAAAAATATAGGCAATATCTCCTGGACATATCCTTAACAACATTGATTACTATTAAATATAAGTTAATGTTAATAACCAACAATTCACTTATTATTTCATAATGTTAAACCATTGGAATTTTGGACAGAAATCCATAAGTAAAGTAAATTTCATACAAATTGATATAATATTATATCACATGGTTCATTGGTCTATTAAAATTTGATTATGTAATTTTTCTACTAACTGGTATAACATATCAAAATATTATGAAATCATTCTCTAATTAGTTTTTATTTTAAAAATTATGTTTTATTATTTTATTCATAGGTCTGTAATGGGACTTAACATTTAATATTAATTTTCATTTGATCTGGAAAATATTTTTTAAAATGGGTATAGGACAACATATTATTTATTATATATTTATATAATTGCCTATTTTAAATAACATATATTATATTTTAATCATAATTTTCTATTGATATTGTTATAAAATTATGATACTCAGAATCTAATATTAAAACATACATGGTATAAACTATGTAATAGAGTTTTTTGATTGTACTATAGTGTATAATTGGTTTTGTGCCTACAGGGATCTGATTCAGAGTTAATCTTTTATGAAAGAGAAGAAATCACTGGACCAAAATTAAGTGACTTCCATAGATGCAAGGTACCTGATGATATCAAGGAATTCCTTTCCACAACCTTGGGTACTTGGGGTATTGTGAAGAAAGTTAGAAACTTGATAATGATTGGTCAAACAAGAGTGCATTTTGACAGTGTTGAGGGACTTGGAGATTTTGTAGAATTAGAAGTAAGTACTGTCTTATGTAAAATTTATATCAAAATACTTATATTGATTGTCACTGTATTCTTTTAGGTGGTATTAGACGATAAACAAACCGTCGAGGATGGCCAAAAAATTGCTTCAAATCTGATGTCACATTTGCAAATTGAAGAAAAAGATTTGATATCGGTGTCATATATAAATATGCTATGTCAAAATAAATCACAATGATGTAAATTAATTTAAATATTAATTTGAATATTTTGTTTACTTTTTTTTCTAGTACTAAGTACTGTTATCGTATCATGAAATTTGTTGGTATCCATTTCATTTTTTTTTTTATTGAAAGAAAAAATGATTTTGATTATTTTAAATTCCTCAATAGTTTTTATGTATAATTTAAGTTCATTATTATGATACATTACTTGATGTAAAAAAAAAATTAATTATTATTTATATAAAGAGTTATAAATTATATCCAGTTACTATAAAAATTATTAGCTTTTTATTAAAAATTACCAAATTTATAAATAAACAGCACTTATATTATTTTATTTATGTTGATAGTAATTCATATTTTATGATTAGGTATTTCAAATTTAAAAATAAAACATATTTTTTGCACTGTTCAAAATTGTTTTCTAATATGTTTAATATTACTGTTAATATTAAAAATTCCTGACAGTGTTGATATAAATTCTATAAATCAAATACATATTTTATATGAAAAATATACACATAATTTATTGACATTCATTTTTAAACAAGACTGTAAAACCATTATTATTTATAAGTTCTTTTGTATTAAAAACTCAAATATTTTATCATAAATTTAAAAACCATTAGTAAATGATAATTTGTTTTTTTAATTTAATTGATTTTAAGCTTTGACAGCTGAAGCCATTAGCTTTACATTTTGCTTTGACATTATTATATGACATGTACAATTAATTAATTTTAAAAATGAGCTTATACCTCTTTAATTTTGTTATATAGAACAAAAAAAACATTACATTGCTCTTGAGAAATGGTAGTTATGAAATATCTTGATTGTTAATTTGATCCGATTATTAGAAAGAGGATCTCTCCTAACTTTTAATCTTTTCTATTTTATTCGTTAAATTTGCATTTTGTTGGTGGTTGATTTTAATTTTGAAATAGGTATTCATGTGTGGATGGATTGATTCTTAATTGAGTTTTATTGTTACTATTTTTCTAAGTTTTAAATTGTCAGGTTTTGTTTTATTTTTCATCATTTTATATGTTGTTTTGGCAAGTAAATTGTATTATATCTATTATTATGCTATATTTTAGTTTGGAAATATTGGATGCTGCTGCTGAAAAAAATTTTTAACCCCTGTTTTATAAAAGTATTAAAGAGGTGAAATGTTGTGTAACTTGGAAACTTATTATTTTTTGAATCTTTAAATAATGAAAAAAAAGTGTAAAATATTAATCAGAAAAAATATAATATAATCATTTAGTGAAAAATAGTCAAGATGATATGAATGCGAAGCACCACCCTAAAATTTGCTATTATATAGATTAAATATAACCTATAATTATATAATTAACTCAGAAGAAATAATTAACTTAAATCATAATTCGTGACTTAATTATTCAAAAATTATGTGTTTAAGTGTGGAGATGAATAATTACTTCGATGGTGGCCATTTTTGGTAGTATGCACTCTAGCATACGCATTATTATGCATTTTGGTATGCACTACTTATACTGTGTTTGATAAAATGACAATATAACAGGGTTTTTAAGTTAAAAAAAAAACAAAAAACCTAGTAATGCATCGTAAAAACATTATTTAGGTTTTAAACTACAGCGGGTGGTAATACTAATACATATCCGGTCAGCAATTAGATTAACATAATATTATATCAATTTTATTATGGATAAGTCTTTATCATCTCATGTCTACCACGCGGAGCGGACGTGATTACTGTTTCAATTTTTTAACTTACTGCACTATACGAGTACATTCATATATCCTTTCTACCATTAATTTACTTCATGTTCTATTATTATAACGAAACATATATGTATAGGTATTCGTTTTACATTAAAAAAACCGTTGTAATATATTTCTTTATAATAATAGGTGCTACATTAGAATGGAGAAGCTAGAAAATTATAAAATCTTCTGTTTCCAGGTGAAAAATTCGTTAACATGACCCTAAGAACATATTATATAAACGTTAAAATTTGAATAGAAATATTTTATACACAGTCATGGACAAATCAATGGTGATAACACCCCCCCCTCCCGAAATTTTTTCAATATTTTACGAATGTTTAAATAATTATTTATTTTTAATACCAATATAAATATTTTCAGTCAAAAATGACTTCAGCTCCAATTAATCATTGACTGTTTTTAATTTTATATCATAATATCATATAAAAATATGATATTAATTTTAATAAAAGAAGATTAAATCTTTTTCTGCCTTATTTTTAACCAAATATCAAAAGTCAAAATCTAAATTCAATAAAGTTACAATACACATGTTTTGGACCCCTCCCAAAAAAAATTTTCAGATTTGACCTTGCAAGGGCCTCGCGCCCTCATGAAATTTATTTCGCCTAGGGCCTTTAAAATTGTAGTGCCGACACTGCTTGTACTCTACAATTCTATAATACAGGGGCATATTTAGAGGGGGGCGAAGGGGCGATTGCCCCTCTAAATCTGTATTTAAGGAATCGATTATACGTGAGATACACATTTCAAATTTTTTTAATGTGTATCATTTTATAACGAAATCAAATTACGCATGGTTGTAAATACTGAATTAGGCTTTTTGTCGGGTCCATATTTAGTGAAATATCAAATAAAACACAAGCGTAACTTTCAAAACTCAGACAGGTGTTAAAAGAGAATTACACAAAAGTTGATTCTAAGTGGATCAGGCATAAGATTAAAAAAAATACCACAAATATTAAGGATTCACCAGATTTAAATATTACCAAAAATTTTACTTCTAAATGTTGAGTCTGAATTAAAGAAAAAATGTGAGTCGCCACCTCCTAGAAGTAAGTCTAAATACGCCCCTGTTATAACATCTGCTTAGACCATTAGAATCTATTTTTATAAAATTTCTGTTCGTAAATAACGCTTGTACCGAAATTTAAAAATTAAATTTCTCATTTTTAAATGGTCAGAGGAATAATAGCGTTTGTGCAATTCGAATTTTCTAACTGATGACTTGTACCGTAGTGAAAATCATGTAGTTAAACATTTTTTACCTTTTATAAGTTGATAATTAAAAAATTAAAAGTTACATTGAAATAATTGTAGTGATATATATTTTGTCAGATATAAGGTACTGGTTTGTTATAGGCCTAGGCATATATGTATACCTTTTTATTTACCCTTTTTATACCGGCGCAATAGATGTATATTATACAGGTAGTGGCCCAAATTCGGCGCAATTAACGAATACCGCTTAAATTAAACATAAAATATAAAAACTTTTGTTTATAAATTATTGTGTAAAAGACGAGCAACTTTTATCTTACATGTGTAATTAATTACAACTCTACCTACAATAACGTCACACGGCTATTCTAAGTATCTTAATCCCATAAAAAAATGTTTTAATGTGATTTTAACCAAATTATTGAAAATGTCTTATAATTAAAGTTATATTTTACATGATCAATAAATAAACCAGTAAAAAAAAAAACTATGAATAAGAAGTAATAATAATAAATTACGAAATAACTAAAATTAGTTTTGTAAAATTAACCAGAATGAAAAAGAAACATCCATCACCGAAACGAGTGAGAGGTTATGTTTATTCAACGTAATCCAATAATATAAATCTCCCACTAGACTTATGTTTTTTTTTTTTAAACTACGACTTATTTAAATTAAATTAAAATCACATAATATCTGAGCAGATTATTTTTTTAAATTAAGTTAGTGTGATAATTTGAATATTGGTTATACGTGATTATAAATAGATTTTTTTTATAATATATTATAGAAAAATCTACAAACATAGGCGATTTTTAAAAAAAATATCGAGACATTTTCGATTTTATTAATGATATTATATTATATTATTAATTATATTTAATGACAGATTATTAAATTTATATTTCAAATTCAACGTTATTAGTTCTTTTATGCATATCCTATTAGAAATGTATACCAAAGTGTACTAATTGTAGATTAATAACAGTTCTATAAGGTAGTGTTCCTAAACTTTATGCTTAGACGGCCTATACTTTTCAATTGTGTTGGGTAGATGACCATAAAAAAAAAAACCAGTACGCTTTAACATAATAATGTTATATCTATTCTACTGATATCACTGTACGGTGTTGAACACAATTATGCATTCAACATGTTAGTTTATAGAACTATTTATTTTGCGAATAAAAATACATAAGACAATTTTTGAAATTATAACTATCTAAAAGTACAGTTCACTATGATGAATATATGATGATTTGCGCTATATCACGATAAATTATGTTTCGGTAATATGCTACCATGGTAAACATATAAGTACTGTAAATGTAAATTTTAAAATAAATGGTTGTACGTGATCGCTTGGAATACTTACTCATAGGTACTGGGTTATTATGTGTAAAAACTTGCTAAGTGGAAAACACTACGTTGATTTTGTGTCTCGATCAGAGTTGTCGCCTCTTAGATGCTTACCCGAACGGGAAAGGAATAGCCAGTGATGTCGTGCATATAATACGGGTGGTTTGAATAAATGACAATTACTCGTCCACGTTGGATTATTAAATTTAGCCATTTATGTAAAGATACATACACGTATATATATATATATATATATTTATATATAATATGGTCTTATTTATTAATACAATATAAACTTATTTATATATCCGAACAAAAATTGTACGGGTAACTACGTTAAATTTTATACTATATATTTATATATATATATATATATATAGATACAAATATATATATATATGATTTGAAAAAAAAACAATACTTTGAAAAAACCAAATCATATTAATTTTATAATATTTATTAATAGTTTATAATATAATGAAAAATCTTTGAAAAATGTAAAATAAAATTGTTGAAAGAAAAAAAAATCACAATAACCAAAATAAACTAAATAACCAAAAACACAAAAAATACCGTAAAAAAAAACGTACATCATAAATATTGTTCATTAACCTTAAAAGAAAAAAAAATATTCATAATAAAACACATTGCACAAAATTAAAGTCGAAAAAAATATATACGGAAAACGTACTTACATGAATTAAGTTATTTATTGTATATTATATATATATATATATCTGTATAATGTAAAATCGATTTTACCAATGCTTAACATTATGTTTTTCCTTAATTATCTTTGGTCATTCTAGCCAAATTTTAACACTAAAAAAAAAAAGGATAAAAAGTGAGAAAATCGTATTTTCTACTTACAAACCGTAAATGTATGTATAATTTGTATATACAGTGTTTTTTTCTCGCGCGTTGCGTATAATATATAATATAATAAATGAATAAAATACTGAAAAATATAATTATTATTTAGGCACGTTGAATTCACATAATTTGTGTCGGTCGAAAAGAAAAATTCTATACTAATTTTTTCCCCCCGCCGACTGTAATCATAATAAATACAATATATATATAATTAATAATAATAATTACCGACCCGTAGGAAAAAATAGTCGCACAAAATCCATATTTGAACGCATTACTAGGCACATAAACCATACACGATATGTGTTTAATCATAACATTGTATGTAAGACTGTTGATGCGGTGCCCCGTCGCAGTCGTTCGAAATACGTTTTGGAGTTGTTAACAATGTTGTGTATGTGCACTCATAAACAGCGTTTAAACGCGTGTTTTGTGAGACTATTTTTCGTTTAAGTACAAATGGAAATCATGCGCAGGCAGGGGCAGAAATTCTACAAGACCAATGTTTCGCGTGGACCGCTCGCTATATCCTCTATCCACCGACAATCGTGAAATTATGATAATAAAATAATGAACGCAATAAAAACCTGTGTAAATATTATCTTTGTAGACGCGCATGTGTGTACTCGAAAAATGAAAATGAAAATCGAAGCTATGGTGTATGTGTATACTATAAATGTATAACGTATGTATTTAATAGATTCAACAACGGTACAAATAACATCTATATAATCGTATGCATGTGTTAAGATTACGATGAGCAGCTAATAAAAAGCGGAGAACAGTTTTTTTTTACAAATTTTTTACATTGTTTTCAGACGAACGATAACTACTTTTGAATAAATTGTACAGATATCTCTCTTTGCGTACCTACACAATATGTAATACGTATATATATATTTGACTCGATAACAATATGGTTTCACGTGTGAATAAATAATCGGCTTTTATAACATTATATAAACACATACACACACACATATATATATATATATATATTGTATAAATTAATTTATATTTATTTTATTTTTTTTTTTTACTTTTTTATTTTTTTACATTTTTATTTATACATAAAAGTTAAATTATAATTATTTTATTATAAATATATTAAAGTTTCATAAATAATTCATGGAAAAAATCACACTCTAAATCATCAAATATTTACAATGTTAAAAAAAAATGTTTATTTACTTTACTTATTGTCTCTCGTGGTATCATAACTTATATATATATATATATATATATATGTATATAAAGTAATTTTTTTTGTTTTTTTTTGTTTTTTGTCAAACTTTATACAATATTTATGCTATATAGTTTAACATTTTTATAAAAATATAAATTCAGAATGATAACGGCTAAAACACATCACTATAATACATATAATATAATATAGGCGCAGAGTATGTGTCGAACAACCCAAAAAATTATTGTCTCAATTATTATTTTAAATTAATTTATATTTTTCACATAGAATATAAACGTTGACCCTTTTCATAATATATAAAAACGTTATGAATTTTTTAAATTTTTTTTTTAATTTTTTTTTTATAACAATTTTTTTTTTTATTCTGAACGAAAAAAGAAACCGGGGACGGGACGAGTTGAAAATAAAGACAAAAATATTGTACAGAAAAAAAATCGTAAATAAGAAAAAAAATACGAGGCGAAAAGTTGTAAAATACTAGTAGAAATAGTAATACATATTAAATAGGTATATATATATATATATATATATAGTTTTAATAATAATAATAATAATAATAATAATAGTAATAATAAAATAGTATGTAATAATAATATTGTATGTTATAGTATAGTCATATTCTTGTAGGTTTTTGCGTGATAATAATAAAGCGGTAAATATGTAGTGTAGACGTCATTTCAAAAGAATCTGTCATATTTTTTTTTTTGTTTTTCATACAATAGTATAATATTATAATGACACGATAAAAAAAAAAAAATAAAAATCACGTCGTTTCGTTGGGGAGGAGGATGTTTGCTGTTGTGGGGTGTTGATAAGGAGTATTGTAGAGGCGGGGGATGTGGAGTTGAAAAGCCGTATGTAAAGTTGTATGTTCTCCCTTACTCTCTGTACGGTTTGCAATACGAGAACCGGTGGTTCATGTGTTGGCTGTACGAACCCGAATGCGAGAAACGTTTCATGCACTTAGAACACTGGAACGGTTTTTCGCCGCTGTGAAGCCGCTTATGCTCGGTCAGATGGTGTTTATGTTTGAACGCCTTCGGACACACGTCGCACTTGTGCGGTCTCTGATCTGCAATCATACAGGAAGCGGACCGTTATTATTGTTGCGAGAAAGTACAATGACGTTATTAAATATAGTGTAAAATGGTTGTTTTACTACAGAAGGGGCCGACGGATATAATATATATTACAGGCCACAAGTGGTGTTTTATAACATAAAACTGCAGTATACATATATATATGAGCTCATGTAACACCCAAAAGAAGAATTTTTACTTCACCCGTCGTAAAGGTATTTTTACCTACTTGCGAAAATAATATATGGCATCTGCGCTGTCGCTTTAACATGACGCAGGGTGTAAATTTTCCTCGCGATAACCGGTAGATGATGAATTGGTGCAAGAGGCGTGAAGTGCAGAAGGGGAGAAATGGTACAAGTGCGTCCGGTTAGCGAAATAACTGTAAACTGTGCGTACCGCAGAATCGAAAAATATATAAAAATAGATATGCTTACAAGTACAGGCTAAATGCAACGATAAATGCAAGGCAGTCAAACATTTGTTTAAATCTGTTTTAGATTCTTATAATTTGGATTGAAATATGAAGGAGAAAAATAATTTTCCCTATTTCCTTGCAGGCTAGTATTTCTTGTACCGTAATAATTACGGTACAATAATAATATGACCCAATAACTCAGATCGATATACAATTATTGTAATCGTTCTGGGTTGTGTTTTTTAGAGTGTTGACACTCGTGGTTTATTTGTGGAGATATGGATGGTGGTCACCGATCCAGGAGTCATTAATATAAGATTTAATAATATAATAAATTACATTGTTTTTTTCCTCCTTTCGATTGGAATAAGCGAGTGGAAAATTACTACATACGAGTATATGTGTCAAATAAATAGGACTACGTACCAGGTACTTCGGCTGATTCCACAGATGACGTTTTGGACTTTTTGCTCGGTGAACTGACCGTGGTGGTCGATGCAACACTACTGCTGTTATTGTTGTTACCACTACCTCCGGTGGACACTGCATCGTCTGGATCTTGGGACGTGCATCCCGAATCTTCGGCTTCGTCCGTCATGTCGCTCCAGTCTCCGTATCCCTATGGTACCGAATAATACATTATTACATTATTATTATACGTTGGGTGTATATTGAAATTTCAACGAAAAATTAATTTTCACTATTACATAAATATGGGTAACTAGTATACTACTATCTATGTAACGATATCTATCATAAATATATAAATAGACACGGAAACTATACATATATATATATATATATATATATATTGCATGCAATCTATGAAAGCAAACAAGGAAAACAAGTCGTCTGGACATTAATTAATTTAACGAGGTAGAATTGAGTAGAATATTACGAGAGTTGATTGCATATGTGTAAATGATAGTGTGTCGTTTGATCCATATGTGTTATGTGGTGTCATCGTATATTTAGTGCAATATGTATAGCTAGAATATTAGCGGCTAAACCTAAATTTTATTCCTGTTAAATTATAATTACAAGTGGACGTTTTTACTCAAAGCGAGGAAAAAAATGATTAATCAAATATTTTGTTAAAATCTGAATTATTAAGTAATGGCGCAATTTTTCACAATATAACAGAATAGATAAATCTTTACATATTTAATCATTTATGTCGAATAACATTATAATATTGGAAAACGGACAACTTTGTCGAAAAAATTCCTAGTTCGACAGTTTATAATAATAGTTTATAATCTATTATTATTTTTATTTTAGATTGAAATTTGGTTTAATATATTAATGATATTAGTATTCGAAATAACAAAAACCCTCACTTAAAGGTATATTTGTCATCATGAAGTCGATTTTATTTTACACAAGATTTTTACTTTTCAATATCAATATATTTTTGAAAATTTTGTGAATTCAATTTTGGTAGTCCAAGTATAATGTATTCGTCAAACTGTTGTTATTATGTGTGATAACATTTATGTTTATGACGTACGCATTGAAAAAATATACATGTAAAAGAGTAACGAAATCAAATAGTTAAACGATTAATAACTTCCAATATAATCATTCTAGACAATCGCGTCTTCTTTTTTGCTAAATATTATTTTAAACACCAAGAAGGTTTCAGAAATTTTACAGTGGTGGTGAAGGATCGAATGCTATAAAAATATTATTCTTTAAACGGGAAACCCTTAAAAATGTTAATTGAGTACTAAGAATTAAAAACGTATTGTAGGGAGGTTTTCGCCGTCAGAGAAATCAAGGGTCTGTAAATAGAGGTTATATCGCGGTGCTAGAAACACGTTAATTGTCATATATCATATGTACGCGATGAAATATTGTACTCACTCTCTTCCACGAACGTTTATCGGACGCAGGGCTCAAACTGCCATTGTGCCGAAGCGCGACGGCCGGTATGGGCGAATGGGACGCAGGATGATTGGTTGGCGGAGGCGGTGGTGGAGTGGCGTAAACGAGCGACGGTGTCGGATAGTAGTCATGCGGTGTTCTGCGGTTCTGCACAGGCGTTGGCGACGAGTCGCAGCTGTCCCGTTTTTTGTTGGTCCAATTTTGACCGACGTCCAATGACAGGTTGACAGCGCTACCAGCGGATTCGTCGTCACCGTCCCTACAGTCATCGCGGCGTCCGCGGCCCATAGACAGGTCGAGCGGCTGTTCCGGATTCGGTGTGGATGCAGCGGTTGCAGCGGCGGCGGCTACGGCCGCGGCCATAGCGGCAGCACCCGTTTCCGTGGTCATGGCCGGTGAGTACGGCATGTGAACCAGGCGGCCCTCGCGCCTGTCCCGCGCTCTATTGTTCTGGAACCACACCTGGACGACGCGCACCTTGAAACCAATCCTGTCCGCGATCCTGCACAGTTCCTCACGTTTAGGTCGCGGGTTGGCCGCGTAGCACTCCTTGAGCACGACCAGTTGTTCGTCGGCGATCTGTGACCGGACGCGGATCTTACGACCGTCCTGGTCTACCGAGTCCTCTTCCTCCGTTGTGCACGGTCTGTGCTCATCGTCCGTGTAACAGTCGCTGCTCGCGTCGTACGTACCACCGCCGCAACGGCCGTTATTGTTGTGGTTACTGTTGTTGTTGTTAATGTTGTTGTTGACTGTTTTGCCGGCGAGTATGCAGCAATCTTCCAGTTTGGCGGCTAACCCTTCGGGCCTCTGCAGGTGGTGTTGATGATGCGGCTGTTGTTGGTGATATGGTGGAGATTCGCTCATCACACTCGGGCATCCACCGGATGAACCGCAAGATGGTGGTGGCTGGTGGTGGTGGAGGTGTTGCTGCTGGTAGTGAATGGCAGCGTTGGTCATCATCAGCTGCTTGGTGACCGCCGAAACGTTGACCGTCTCAAGTAGTCTCTTGACCACATCTTCTTCGCCACCGCTACCGCTGCCTCTGCCATCTTCGCGATCCTTCTTCGCCACGTTCACCACGTCGATCACGTTATCGTACTTATCGTCCTCGTCTTCATCCTCGTCTTCGCCACCACTCTCGTTATCCTTGCAGTCATCCGTCACCACATCGATCGTCTTCTTGCTGTCGTTGCAACAGTCATCTTGTAGTTCTTGTTTCACAGGCACCGGGGATACCACCGACGGCCGTAGCAAGCTGTGAATGTCGAAGTTATTCGATGTGTTAAATAGGTTAGGGAAGTATATTCGGGCAACATTAGCCGCGTCCGTTGTCGGCGGTGGGTGGTAGAATGATGAAGGTGGTGGCGTTATAGTCGGCACTACTGACAATGGCAACATCGGCGCGAACGCGTTATTACTATTGTTGTTGTTGTTTATGTTGTTGTTGTGATTGCTATTGTTGTTGTTGTTGTTTGAACCGTGACGCTTTACCGCGTAAATGTTATTCGGTTGTTGTTGGGTTCCGTTTCGGCTGTTGGCTTGCGACCCGCGGCCGACCATTTTCATGTTGATGACCAGGCACTTTTTGGAAGTCATATGACTCGAATACGAACCAGAATGTGAGAATCGTTTACCGCAGTTGGAGCATTCGAAGGGTTTTTCACCACTGTGAATTCGAATATGTTCCTATAGAAAAAAATAAAAATTATACCACTGATTTTTGATAGAGCAAACTAATTAATATTAAGAGCAGAAAACGTCATTGCGCAGAACATGTACAGAGAAAAGAGGGAACATTAGTAGATCATGGTTTAATAGTTTAATAGTTTAATGTGGTGCTCCGCGAGGAAAGAGACCTTTGGGGAGACCACGGCTAAGACGGGAAGACGAAGTCAAGAAAAGATGTATACATTATGGTTTCAAATGTCGATCAGCATGTTTTGGCGATGAACCGAGTAAATTGACACGAAATATGTTTGAATGTATGATTTTAACGGTCGATTACAAGAAAAAAAGAGAAGAAAGAATTAATTTATTATTATCTACTTTGATGCTATCATACAAGTAGCCAATTACAAGTATATAAAATAATTGCAGATACATATTAGTATGTGTATTTATAATCGTTACCTTGAGATGATGTTTGAACTTGAATGCTTTTTCGCACTCCGGACATTTGAACTTCCGAAGCACCGCACTTTCGTCGTGGCTTATCATGTGCCTTTGGAGACGGTACACGTTGGCGAATGTTTTGTTGCATACTTTGCACGACTACGCAATTGGAAAAAAAAAAAACAAATTCGTGATATTAGGATCGTTATTATGTTACGCGCTCGTTGATGATAGGTATACGTATAAACGTGTGCACGAAATAAATAACGAAAACAAAAGAAAAAATAGTCGTGCGTAAAATCTCACGACCAAAAAAATCGTTGTAGGAGTCCCCTTTTAAATCCCATGCCCGGAGACCTTATTAAAAATAATAATTAAACGAAAAAACAACACACACATACTATTTAGAGTTGATGTGCGGTTAGAGTAAAAAAAAAAAAAAAAATAAAAAAATAAAACGGAATGAAATACGACGAACGTCGCAAAGGTATGACGTCAACAACATGTCACCATGTGTTAGGCTGTGTTTATAGGAGCGAGTATTTTAATGTGTGTGCCGTACGTGTACACGGGCACACAGCGCAGTAATCGTGAGAATTCCTAATGGCGACAAGTTACGAAAATCGTTATTTTCCATGTGCCGCCACACCAAGATAACATGTTCGCCGTCCTCTGCTGCCGCCAATGATCGGTTAATTTAACTGCGCCACACATATGTATTAGCAGTCGGCATCGCCTTTACCTCGTGCATCCTCTCTAGCCATCGTTTCCAGTAAGTCTGCGCGCGCGCGTGTATGGTACCGTATACGGAATTTTTTTTTTTTTATTACTATTTCGGGTCACACAGACTTACGTTTTCCGAGCAACACCTCTTTTTTTTTTTTTTTTTTTATCTACACTCGCACACGTTACACAAAGCGACATGATAAACGTTATCGGAAACAGACACGATGACGTCCAAAGCAACGTGATAATCTCTGGGTACCGCACTGAGGCTGCCCGAACAAAGATGGTCTATCTCAATTTCCACGAGCGTGTACACGCAGATACGGGATGACGTACCCGGTGGCATTTGGAATAATTTTATCGATATATTCTCCAAAAGCCATGTGGTCCGCATGTTTGGCGCGGCGATATATTTTATTGTACGCGTTCGGGTATTGTGTTGAATGTATAGGTATATATCCCGCGAGGCCGTGTCTCCGCCCACGGACCCGTACGTTAATCGATTATGTATAATACAATATACGTATGTATCCTGCACGTGTATACATTATCCTACTCGGGAACGCGCGTATACCTGCAGTTGCAGCTGTTGGCACGGGATGGGGAAGGGGAAAAAGAAGAAGAATTTCAAGCCGATCGTGAAGGGACGGGTGGGTGGTATACGCGCGGTCCATTGTGTACGGCGGTTCGTTCGTTTCGGTGAGAAAATGGAAGGGGAGGAAGAAAAAAAAAGACCCAAATATGCCGTCATGGCGAGATTTTAATGGCCATCGGTACCCATGATATACGCTAGATGTAGACACGATGGTAGGTGGTATATAGGTATACGTACGCAAGACGGCCGTACACCGGTGGCGGGAAGAAGAGGTCGTTCGCACGGCAACATAACACGTACAACGCGCGCAGACAAACGTGGTCGTGAGCACGGTTTACATAATACGTGATGCATGTGCGGAGCGCGCCACACGGTGTGGTGCACACGTCGAATCCCTTTGTACACCGGCCGGGAGATATGCTCGGGGTCGGGTTTTTAGTGTGTTTTATAACGTGTATAGTACATTTCCACGAACGGCGGGAGGTAATAATAATAATAAGGGACCGGAGGAGCTGACATCTGGACGGACCCGAAGAGTTTATACCACCCGAAGTAAGCATCACGGGGCGCGGGGGCCGAGGGATGGCATCTTTTCTTTCTTTCTTCTTTTTTTTCCCTGCATAGAAACACCTTGCGGTGGTGGTGAATCCTCTCGCAGCGCGTCAAGGTCGGAATCGTACTCGTTCAACCAACAGCATCATCGCCGTGTGCAATATTAGTGTATACACTTTATATGTATGCCAACGAATACATCACGTTTACGTGTTTATTTTTCTTTTTTTTTCCCCGACCTCCCAAAAATGTTTTCCAATCTTTTGTTTGCCACGCACACAAATACTATTGTATATATTATGTATACATATATATAGACGAAGGAAACCCGTGGTCGGACCACACAGACGCGGGGGCGGCCTCGAAAACAGAGAATGCGTTTCGATCGTGAGCATTCGTATCCGTGTACTGGCGACGGATTTTAGGTGTGTTTATTTTATATTCGTACGTGTATACAACGTATATTTATTTATATTTTTCCACGCGCGAGTAGTATATGTGCGCCAGCATTTGTATTACGTAAAATGTACATCTCTAGTGAAACCGGTCGTTTCGAATGTATTAAACACGTGCGTGCGTGCGTCCGTTTTTGAACGTTGATAGCGTTCCCGGCGAAGAGGTGCGCCATGGCGAGGTCGTGGAGCAGTACGCAGCACGAAATATAATGGAAATAAATAAATACAAAATACGTGTACCTCCACGGGGGCCGACAAACCCATACGACGGCAGCGAAGGTCGGTGCACCGGATATCGAATGCCGCACGTGTGAAGAATTCGGTTGGTCCGGTGAAAAACGACAATTCACAATCTTCGTACGTATTGTATGCGCTGTACGCGTTCAAGCCAGATTTAAACGGTTCGCGGGCCTTATATTATTCGTCTCTTGTTTGAGAAATCACACGTGTACCTATAGACTGTGCGATGGCATGATAGATATCACAAAAAAATCGGTCTGACGTGGGCGACGGCTAATACCTACACTCCGGTCTACGATCATATATTTATGTACAGAAAAATGTGACGCGTCGCGTGCGCCCGAACCCCTTGGTTGTGTTTTATGTAGCCCGATATTAAATGAAATATACGGTTATAGTATGCATATTTACGAATAGGAAAACACTGTTAAATAATGACTCACCACTTGGGCGTTCGGAGAATGGAGCAGTTCGTGTTTTTCGAGCAGGTCGCGATTTCCGAAAGTTGCGTTGCACTGCAGGCAACCGTACGGACCGGTGCCGGCGATCATCGAACTCGGAGGCGGCGACGATTGTGTCGAAGGTGGCCTGGTGCGGCACCCGCCGTTCAAGCGTTCCTTGAGCGTTCCCTGCAATTCCAACGAATCTCGGCCGTGCTGCTGTTGTTGCTGTTGCTGCTCGTGATAACCCTTGATCAGACTCTCCAGACCCATGCCGGGCAACGGAACTGTGAACCAAATAAAGAAGTCGGTTAGTAAAAAAAAAAAAAAAAATAATAATGTATTCGGCGATAATACGCGTGTGCAGTGACCAGCAAATAATTTGTATCGTATTATCGGATTCGTGCTCTTGAGTTTTCCCTGCGAGATATGTGAGGTATCACACTCGAATTATTTAACGTTTTATTATCGATTTTTAATATTAATTCAATTCATGGTTTCATAATTGCGCGTACACCCGATAACGACTATATGTATTCATATAAAGCACATGTAATGACGAATATCGTGATACGAAATAATTGAATCATATTCTATGCTTATGATCTATCGGGCTCACGAGTACTCATTCGATATGAGCAAAATAATTTATAATTATAAAAATATAATTTAATTCGATTTTTTTCGTTTAAAAACAAAAAAGTGTAAAAGCAAAATAATAACAAGTTCATCTGAGCATGACAACAATTATTACGTCCATCTTTATACTGATTATAAGCTATAGTTTGATTACTGCAAATGGATTGAACAACAGGAAAAATTGGCTTGAGCGATTAAAATATTTAATATGGTTTTAATTTTATAAAACGTAACCCGACTAAGTTTTAACAATACTATGGTATCTTATTGCAATACGGGTGGGTTAATTAGATACATTTGTTACACCATCTCACGGAAAAGGTTAAAGTCGGAACAGGGGTGGCTCCAGAGTAATTATTAGGGGAAGCATTTTATACTGTGGACATAATATAATATGTTAAAATTAAATGATTATATAATATTATAAGTATTGCCATTTACCATAAATATCTTAACACTGCAAGGAATAAACATTCAAATAAAAGTTTAAAAAAAAAAAATAGGTAATAGATAGGTACGTTGAAAAGAAAACTTTTTATTTAAAAACAATAAAATAAATTTTGAAGCGTGTTCTATGACGGAACACGTCAAAGACATTTGTTTTTGTTTTGTTTTGGTCGCAATCATGTCGATACCGTCGATAGTTTAAAACAACCAATAAGAAATATACATATTACGATTAAATTAAACTATTATTACGAATATAATTTTTTTTATAATATAATAATATTTATCTATTGCATTGTATACTGGAGTACATACAATCGCAAAAAGCTTCGCAGTCATTGCGGACGATAGGTAATGCACGAATTGAAAAACACAACGTCATCACGGTTCTCTGGCGCGGCCATGATTTACTCACGTGTAGTCAGGGGGCAGGTATGATAAAACGCACACGTACACACCTGTTGCTTCGGGTATTGTTCGGCGGGCCAATGATACGCGAGACGGGGCGAATAAAGGGCGTGATCGCACCTGCCCGCCGCCGCACGCTCCGTGGGGGGTCCTGCGCGCAGGTAATAAAAAAAAATAAATACACAATAAACCTGTACACGCGAGAATCCATTTGTACGCATGCTTGTTTTACTGAAACGAATACATATTACATGTTACACAAGGATACATATGAATCCCGCGTTGAATCCGTGTGGTGAGCACGTAAAGGTAATATGTCAGAGTGATAAACATCCGTTTTTATACTAACAGTTATTCGCAGGAAATTTTTTTTGTACGTTCCATTTCATTATTACCATGGAATAAATACATAAATCGGGGAAGAAATAAAATACAAATGTGCCAACATTGAAATACAAAAACTCCCATGCATTTCCCTCAAATTCAAACATCATTGTATAATTTAAATTTATGTATTTTTAAATTCAAATAAATAAAAATAAATATAATATAAAATATTTCGCTTCAGAGCTGTTTTCTGATTAAATATGTATCATTGACTAAGATTTTTAATTATTCTATTAAGTGAATTGTAGGTACCTAAACATATCATATTATTTATATAACTCCTATATTTTAATTATTGACAATCACGCTTCGTGTTTTGAATTAGAGCAATGATTGTATTGATTTTACAATGATGTATGTTTTTTCATGTCAATTTGATGATGTTAATTAAATTTATTACATACCTGTTTATAGTCTGTACCTACTCTTGACTGCATGTATATAAGTATATCGTATAAAAAATAAAAATTTAAAATACTAATATTCCAAAATTATTAATATCTGTGGTCTTCTTTAATTATTAATTCAGATTAATATCTATGTATTCTTTTCGTGATAAGACTTAATCATAATCGAAAACGTGGTTATTACCATGGTCGTTTATTATATTGATAATGAAATGGATCGTACAAAAAATTTTTCCTGCGAATGACCGTTCGTGTTTTTATCCTTTTCTACCGATTCGTTTCATCTGCCCACCTACCATCGTCATTCGAACGTAGAGGTGCATCACACTCGTCATACATCATTATCGTTACGATACATTATCTATGACGACACGGTACCATAGAGCGTGGTAAAAAACGAGTGTAGACCAGCCGATGTATATATTATATACCGAGCGGTTAATGCGTTTTAGGTTCGACCGGATGGAATCCGGTCACGGGGTTTTAACGATCTCTCGCGCATACGTATACGCCGTGCAAGTATAATTGTATAGAGATCGAGCTAAATCGTTCGAGCGGTCGACAATAAATATGTATAAAATGTATGTGCGCGTACATAAGTGCTACGCAGACGTCGATTCGCGGAACGCACGTCGTTAATATATTTATTTTTACACCAGCGAAACCGACACGTTTTCAGTGTTACACGCTTTATACCTATACGCGTGCGTAAGAACGAGCGCAGCTGATTAAAGCCGATCGATTGCAAGCAAATAAAATGTACATTTGCTTACAAGTATATTATTGTTACGCGCGAGAAAGAGAAAGAGAGAGAGAGAGAGAGAGAGAGAGAGAGAGAGAGAGAGAAAGAGAGAGGGATAGTGATAAAAAGAAGAGCGTTATTGTTTTCTCAACGGACTACACGTCCCTGAACACGTTTAACGCGTGGCATCTGGCAAATCGTATGGTCCACAAATATACGCAATGTACTATGTATACTATTATTACGTGTGTCGGTTTACCAAACGCGCATGTATACAACGAATAAGTGTTAAATATCATCAAACATACGGCAATTATGTTACGCATCATCATACTCGTCCAATTACATGTACAATGTCAACAGTCAAAGGCACCTGTACGTAATTTTATGTGTTGTCTACTATAACTACAGTGTACGGTCATAAAGGGTAACAGGTACGATTGAAAAATATGTTAAAAAACACTGAAACAATGTTATTTCGATTTGCTATGTTTTTTAACAAACGGTATAACCGTTTCACTATATAATAAGTGTAATAGGTGAATACTATGTACTGATATCGATTAAATACTTTATGACTTTATTTTAAAACACTGAATACACGAGTACACGTGTATGCAAAGGAAAGATTATAGACTAGGAAAGGTTTGTAGCGTATATTCTCCGCAGCGATATCTAAACCGTGTATGGATATTTGTTCAAGATCAACACCAATTTACCTGCTGAAAAAATATATCAAAGGTAATACGAATAATGGAAAATCTTTGGAAGGTACTACAGAGGTAACCCGTAGTGCGTGATTTTGATTGAAACCATGGTATAAGATATGAAAGTAAATGTACGTTGAAAAATTCAACATGTCACCATATAATGACGATATTTTATCGGTTACACTAAAACTTAGTGTTAAGTACCAATTGACATTTTTTAATCTCAAGAACATAAATATGTGGGAATGCGTGTGTGTGTGTGTGTGTGTGTGTGTGTGTATAAATATATACACCCACCGTGTAAAATCACGAAGTAAAAAACTGACTTTTATCAGTTCACAGAATTTAACGACGTTCCGTGAACCATGAAACTTTCTAGTTATTGCGGGTATAAAAAAAAACTATTCGAAGGTCTCCTCGCAAACATTAACGGTTTATTGGTAATACTATCTATTAATATTTACTTCACATATTGCACGCATCCGTGTCATAATATGTACGAAGACCATAACACACGTCTATAAATTAATTTTTCCGTAGCTAAACTAGGTTTGTAATTGGTCGCATGTTAATACTTTTCTCGATATGCGATTTGCAATTTATTTATCAAATGCACATATTTATGTAAGAGCATATATAATACAACATATAGTTCAACATAAATATCTGTTTTATAAATTTTATAAATACTTTGTATTACCAATTTAGTTATTACATAAAAACAATAGTTTCGCACTATATAGATGATAAAATTGTCGTTCGGCAGTTGAATATTGGTCGAAAAAATAAACGGTATTATTTTTAGTTTATACATACGATAATAAAGTATATACGTGGAGAATATATTTATGATATCTATATAAGTATATGTATACACGTGAATGTAAGCAATAGCGCAGTGGAACTAGAGTGTTTTGCCAACGTGTTTAAACCATTACCGCGTACAATATCATTATACCAGAGTAATATTATTCTAAAAATGAAAACGTGCGAAGTTAAATTTATCCAAACGTTTATCGTTTGTTGAAATAATATTTTCCACGTTTAAATTTCAAAGTTTCGACATTAACGATTCCAAAAATTTTACACACCTAACATGTGTATTTATATATTTAATTATTAACATTTTTAATAAGGCGCTATGAAAATTAAATTTATTTTCGTGATCAGCAGCACTCAGATGTATACATACACACATATATAAATAAATTTTTACGAGGTACAACCACTCGATACGAGTAGTTTTAATTAAAAACCGTTTTCAAAAAATATGCACGTTTTATAAATTTAGATGAAGTGATTTACGAGGACGGGACGATTGAAACGAAAAAATGTAGCGCGACGAACATTGAACAACATTTACGGGATCGCGGTACACGTTAACATTAAACAATTGCAATAATATGCTACGGTTTACGTCAAAGTAACCGATAGGTTGGTCGTGTGCACGAGCGGTAGAAAAAAAGAACATCAACAGTCGTAGAATTAAAAGTGTTAAAAAATAATGCTCGATTTATATAAAAAAAAAAAATAAATAAAAAAATAAA